GTTTCGGGGTCTGAGCGGGGCCCTCCTCCAGTGGCTGGGGGGCAGCCGGGGATCGAGCTGGCGCCGCGGAGGCTGCGGGCGGCTTCGCTGGCCGGCCGGGGATCGAACTGGCGCCGCGGGGGCTGCGGGCGGCTTCGCAACCCAGCGCTCAGCTGCTGCGCCACCGGGGAGGCCCCTCTCTCTCTCTCTCCCCTTAACCCTTACTAAGGTTTTTCTGTATCTTCCTGAGTGACGATACCTCTAGCTTCAGTTTTTATTACAGTACCTTGTACTTGGTGGGTAAGCACTTGATAAATATTAAAATGTTTGCAGCTGCCTAAATAGCTCAGACCATGATTCAGGTACCGGTTTCGGGGTCTGAGCGGGGCCCCCCTCCAGTGGCTGGGGAGCAGCCGGGGATCGAGCTGGCGCCTCGGAGGCTGCGGGCGGCTTCGCAGCCCGGCGCTCAGCCGCTAGCCGGCCGGGGATCGAGCTGGCGCAGCGGGGGCTGCGGGCGGCTTCGCAACCCAGCGCTAAGCTGCTGCGCCACCGGGGAGGCCCCTCTGTTTCTCTCCCCTTAACCCTTACTAAGGTTTTTCTGTATCTTCCTGAGTGATGATACCTCTAGCTTCAGTTTTTATTACAGTACCTTGTACTTGGTGGGTAAGCAGTTGATAAATATTAAAATGTTTGCAGCTGCCTAAATAGCTCAGACCATATTTCAAGTACCAGTTTCAGGGTCTGAATGGGGCCCTCCTCCAGTGGCTGGGGAGCAGCTGGGGATCGAACTGGCGCCGCAGAGGCTGTGGGTGGCTTCGCAACCCAGCGCTCAACCGCTGCGCCACCGGGGAAGCCCCTCTCCTTCTACTCTTAACCCTTAACTAAGGTTTTTCTGTATCTTCCTGAGTGACTTGATACCTCTCTCTAGCTTCAGTTTTTATTACAGTACCTTGTACTTGGTGGGTAAGCACTTGATAAATATCTATTAAAATGTTTGCAGCTGCCTAAATAGCTCAGACCATAATTCAAGTACCAGTTTCAGGGTCTGAAAACAGGCACAGTTTGCTTGGATTCCATTAAGTTTCTTGAAACCAGGAAAAGGAAGAGCAAATGAAGTACCACTTCTGGAAAAAATGAAATCCATTCCTATTGCAGATTTTGAAAAATCAAACTACAATCCATAGTTTAAAACTACCAAATGCCATATGGGTAAACTAAGCTACAGCTGTTTCTGACAAAAGACTGTCTCTTTGACTTTACTGTTTCTTTATCTGGCTTCCTTTCATAGCACTGATTTGCTATGACTTTGGATATCTGCTTATTTTCCTTAGGTCATGCCATCTATCTTTGGGCTTCACCATCTGAAGTTAAATTTAAACTTTTTCAATTCCAATTTATCAATTCTCCCAATGTGTGACGCATTAAACACAATCAGGCATCAATATTTATTAACACAAGACAAAGGAAACACATTCAATGAGTTAATAGAACACTGTCCAGCCAGATGTTAAATTTAAAAATGTATATCTAGTCTAATTTCAAATAAATAAAAAAAACTTTATACATAATTACACAGTACTATTGTTTGAATTTGACACTGGTAAATATCTTGACAGAAAGTAAACATAACAGCATTTAGGACAAAAAAATTATTCTTGTATCTTTATACTCTCTTCCTCTGACAAGTAACATGGCCCGTCTAACATATACCTAAACCAGAAATGTTGAATGAATGATAAAGAAAAGGCCTATAAGTGTATTTGGAGCATTGCAGCTTCTTGCTCCAAATACTGTTGCTTGTACATCAATGCAGACAACAAAAAGAACACTAAGGCATTGATCATGTTGGAGTTTGAGGGTGAGGTGATAACTCCTCATTGCTTTAGTCTGAAAGATTCCTGGATATTCAAGGAAAGTAATTTATTTGGCCAAAATATTGAGCACCATGCCTGGGGCAGAGACCTTAAGAAAAACTGTATGGCCTCAGGCCCTTTGTTGATTAACAAAAGCATTAAGCAAGCATTGCCCAGGGACTAAGTTAGGAGACATAACTCTTATGACCAGCAGACAGGGAATGGTCCCTAAATAGCCTGAGGCAGCACAACTTCAGAATAAAAGGACTTGTTTCTAAGGGAGAACCAGGGCCCTTTATAAAGCAGGTGATAAAGACTAGATTCTGTGATATCCACTGGTATGCTGGTCATCCCCTAGGGTCTCACTGATGTAGGAGACGGCATTTGTGCAGCTATAGGAATCCCTAGGGCCTAGGAATCTTCCTGAGGCAGCCTCTTCCCAATCTATCTCAGTTACTTCTGCTGAGAGGCAAAAAGAGGTTAAGAAACTCTGAGATGAACAGACTGCTCTTAACTGAGATGGGGGCTTGCTGTCTAGTTTTCTTTTTTCACAAGCATTAAAAACCCAGACAGAATGTGTTCCCAGGATTGGCAAGGTTGTGGGTCCCCCCCCCCCCCAAATCAATAATGGCTTTTGGGCTTGCCTTAAGAGTCAGTTCTACCACAAAGGTTCTGTGTATTTGGGCTTCACCATCTGAAGCCCAACAGTATTTGGAAAGAGCAAGATCATTGTATCATCCAAAGAGTTTTCTTACCTATGTCTGCCACAGACTAGGCATTAAATCTGCAGGGGGCCCTATAAACACCTCTAAGCTAATAACTTAACTCTCTTCCCATTCCTTAAGATTTCTTTACCAGAGTTACTGATGATGTTCTCCAAAGACAGATTGCACCCCCCAACCTCCACTAGCATATTCTGGCTTTGGAGAATATGCAAGAGATTGATAAAACAGCCATAGGCAGAAAGCAAAAAATAAAGATAAATCAGAGGCCCGAGGAACTACAAAACTAGATAATCAGCCCTTAAATAACTGGGAATTGGCCACACTTAATGAAGTATCTTAGTTAAGGAATGAGTATAGATGCGCACCATCCAACATCATAGCCACTAGCCTGTGGCTACTGAAAACTTAAGATATGGTTAGTCCAAATTGAGATGTTTAACTTAATTCATACTGGATGTCAAAGACTTTAAAAAGTAAAATACCTCAATAATTTTCATATTGATTGCATGTTGTAATATTTTTGATACACTGGTCAAACAAAATATATTAAAATCAATCTCACCTGTTTCTTTTCACTTTTTAAAAATGTGGTTATTAGAAAACTTAAAATGACAGATGTGGCTCACTTTATCCTTCAAGCAGACACCATAACTGTGTAGTAAGAATTAGCAAAACAACCCATAGTCCCTTTAGAACTATGGATTATGGAGAAAGAACAGAACGGTATAACCCCCAGGGTCCCTTGCTTCATTTATGAGTCCTTAAGAACCATTTAAGAAAATTACTTTCCAAATAAGCAGGCAGTTACAGCTCTGCGAACAAAACCATTGCTAGTCACTGGGACTTCTTATCCCAATGTAAGTGCCTTTTCCCCCCCATATATCCTATAACCTTTCCCATATCACTTGTAAATTAATTTCATCCAAAATGTTGGAAAAGAGATCTGGAACTGGAAAATGTCTTGAGGTCTGCCCTCTCTGGAGAATGAGTTCGGAGAAAAAGAGGATTATGCAAAAGGAAGTCATAAAGTGGCTTTGAGTCACAAGACTGTGTAAGGGCAGCCCCTAAGCGTGCTGCCTTGGTGAGAGATCTGGTCTTTGCATTATAAACCTTATTTTCAGGGTAATTACAAGTCTTAAAAATTGTTTAAAAACATATTTAGTTTACATGATGTTACACTGGGGTAAATAATATGTATTATTAAAATAGTCTAAATAAATATTTACACAATAGACCAGAGTGGGTCAAAGAGAACCATTCTGATATAACAAGTTAACTCTGTTCACTTTGAAGTTTTTTTTTTAATTTTTAAAAATATTTCTGTAAGAAAAAAATAATAAAATTCAACTATATTCAAATACATGAAGTGTCAGACCAAAGAAAGGAAACTGAGCTGGAGGCCAAACTCAGTCCCAGGCTCAGTCTGCTTGGCCAGGGCACCGCAGTTATTTCAAAAGAGTTTCTTGCATATACACCTGACTTCCCCTGTTACAGCATAAGCCTGCTATTTTGGCAACCCAAAGTAGTCAGTTTTGCTATGTGGATGTATGTGGCCTTATGGTGTCAAATGACAATTGATCCCACAGCCTTCCCAGCTTGCTCCTAAAATCCCTGCTCTCATGAATCGAAGAACAGAGGACACTCTGCACTTTTCAGAAAAGAGAAGCTGTATGTATAAACTGTGATTACAGTTTACAATGGGACTGAAAAAAGAGGAAATTCTAAATTCTTATGAAGTCGCTCTTACATCTGAAAGACAGTTTCAACACTGGGGGCCACAGTGAGATATTGTAGTTCCTTAGAATAAGGTGGGAGCTAATGAATTGTTGTCTTTTTATAACATTGCGATTTTTAAATTGAGACTTTCAGCTTGTAAAACCTGGTTGAATTCTTAAAAGCTTAAGCTGATTCTGGGAATGCAAGCTTTAAAAACAAACAGAGGCAGCTTTAGTTTATAAAATACACCAGCCAACAGAGACATAGTACAATGTGCAGCAAAACCTGCAAACAGTTTGCACTTTGTAGTCACCTATTCAATTACACGCACTAAGAGAATATTTAAATTCTCTCAAAGTAGAAGTGTTTCTATTTTGGTTGTTAAAACTATACAAGCCAGTTCAATTTTCTAGCTAAATTATGTGTATTCTTATTTACATGTTTAAAACACTCATCAAAATGTTTACTATAGTCAAGAATTTTATATATTTAAAGTAATTCTCATATTCAGTGGGTTATCTGACTTGCTTATGTGTCGAATGAAAGTAAGCTGAGTAGGTCCATGTTAACGAAACCTGCAGAACGTCTAGAACTATGGTAAAATGGCAAAGTATAGTTCAGCGTGGGGAACTGTGTAACTCAGACTACCCCTTTCATGTGAATTCATTAAACTCCCTTACAAAATTCTAAAACCGCATTAGGTAAAAATACAAGTATATACAACAGATGAAAAAAATGCAACATGCATGTAATTGCTTTAGTAATGTGCTGCTCACCCTATGTCAAAGATTATGACTAATATAGACTGTTAAATTTTTTTCATTTGCCACCACAGGATTGCGCTTTCCTGTGTCATGTGATTTCAAAACTCCACAGGATGAGATGAAGGATATAATGTAGCTGTCTCAGCTTATTTCACATCATTTGAAAGCTTGCTCCTAGTCATGGGTCTCTGGTCTTTGTGGTTTTCAGGATGGTCCCGGAATCCCCACAAGGCTGCTTACATGTTATAAGCCACATAGATGGGATCTAACTGGTCAGCCAGGAAGCTGTCACGAAGGTGCATCCTCTGCTTCTCTCCCCTGGAGTTGATGGGAATAACACCTGGGTCCACCACAACCACGACACCAACGATGAGGTAATGCTCTTCCAGGACCACATTTGTCACTAGAGGAACCAGATCTAGGGCTTCCTGCTCAGAGCCACAGAGTTCCACAACCACCACGAGCAAGTTGGTCCACGTGAACACGGCACTGAAATTCCAATGACACTCAGTTACTGTCACTACACTTACCAGTCGTCTTTCACAACCGCTGCCCAAGATAAGCCGGTTTCCCTACACTTGCCTTTTCTAGAAGCAGTCACTTCTGTGACCATATATGATCATGACCCTTGAGCACAGCTAATTAGCTAAGTCATCCAATCTCTTGGGAATCTGGAAGTTGTTAGCTGGTCACCTGTACTGGGGAGATGTGGACTTGCAAGTTCTCAGCCAGGTCAATGGAGAGCAGAGATTGGCTCGTCAGGGAGGAGAGAACGAACGATGTGAAAGCTACAGGGCTTTGGAAAGTATGAGCACGTGTCCTGCTGGCTTTCCTAGTCCTTGTTTTAACTTTCTTGAGATCCAGAGTTAGACTTTTAGGAACCTCTTTCCATTAACTCTCATTTAAGTTTTTTTTGGAGAGGGTCTGTTTGAAACAGAGTTTTAACTAAGATAATATTCTTCCTAAGATTCTTACTAGGTAAGAAGTTGGCCTGATTTCATCCGAGCTTAGTGCCCCCCCACAAGCATCTCTTGCATCTACCATAAGGTAGAGCGTCCTTTTACCCGAGTGGGACTGCAGAGTAGACCGTGATACGCAGTGTCAAATGCATTGTAAAACAGGTACCGTGTGAAGGAAAAAGGAACAGTGAAACTAAACCAGGGAAACCCCTAGGAATCTGACAGCACTGAGGTGACCAAAAGAGGAGGCTGGGGAACTACGGGTTCCAGTGGGCCATGGTGGAGGATTACAGGTGCTTTGGCAGTGCGTGGAGCGATGACAGGCACCTGGGAGGGTGTGACCCCATCCTGTAGCCTGTGTCCTCAGTAATAAGTGACACAATTAAAAGGGCTCCAGTCATTAAAAAAAAACAAAACAGTGCAGAATATGTGGCTACATGAAAAGTCAAATGTCTAAAATCAGGGCAGACGTGGCCCCAAATTTCTCTGCATTGTTTATTCCTCATGGGCATTGTGGACTGAGAGACAGACTGATCAAGCAAGATCTTATGTAGATAAAGAAGCCTCTGGAAAGCGTGAGGAACTGTGGTTATTAACATGCAGAGGAAAGACCAACTGACTTAATGCAGAAAAGAAATCGTTGGTTCTATATGGGCAGGAGAACAGGAGGAAAACCAGCAGATAAAACTATAGTTTTAAGGAATTTTAAGTCAGCATGAGGTTGAATGATCCTCCACCAGGGTACTGTGGGGGCATCTGGCACTGAGGGGAAACGGAAGAACACTGATCCCTCCGCAGCTGCTCGCCACTTACCAGCTGATGAAGCACATTCTCATTTGATCTTCCTGATAATTAGGAAGCACAGAAAGTATTTCGCAGAGGAGCGAGCCAGCCCGTGAGGGAGAGTGGGGCCTTTCATCTTGGACCTTCACGCCACGGTGTTTCTCGCTATAACCCCTGGGTCTAGAGGCAGATGGTCGGGAGGGCCCTTCCCACACGGGAGTCTCTCGTTAAAAAGGACCGAGCGCCACAGCGGCGCCTTAGATCCGGTGCCGCTGTCTGACGGCCGGCTGCACACACTGCACCCTGGGACAAGAACCGGCCCATTTGTTTTCCTACTCCCCTTGGAGTGCTCCGTCTGTACGCGACACGCAGTACAGGCAGCGGACTACCAGGGCCGCTAACTGACACCACAGCGGAGGTGGAAAGGCATTCTGTGTGGGGATTACCATTCAGCAATGCTCCTGTGGATCCGAGACACTGAGGTCTCAATATCAATCGGATGGTATCGTAATCCTCTCAGCTCCAGTGTTTCGTCCAGAGCTCCCACCACATACAACGCGTCATGACGCTCTGAGAGAGAGAGAAATGCGGCTGGTCAGACACGCTGAGTGTGACCGGGTCTGAGCTGAGTGCACAGGACTCGTGCTGCCAAGCACGTCACCTCAGCCACCCCTGCCAGCTGCGTAACTGACCAGTTACTCCAGTCTTAGTCCTGCTTCCCCATCTGTGAGATGGGTGATAACAAACGGCTCTGTGAGAAGGAAATGAGATAATCCGCGGAAGGTAGTTAATGGGATGCCGGGTATAGTGTAAGTGCTAAAAAAAAAAAAAAAAAAAATTAGGTAGTATTCACGTGTGCCTGGAATGATGTCAAGTACTGGGCAGAAACAAGATGACAACGTGATTGCTGCTGTGACGACACCGTCTGCGGGGAAACGGACGTCCCTCAGCTCAGCTCAAGGGTTCAGAGGCTGGAAAGCACAAGCCAGGCTGAAATTTTACAGATAGGGAGGAGCTAGCCAGGCGACAGCTGGGGAGGGTGGAAGCGGACTGGAGCCGAAGAGGTGGCCGTGTCGTTTCCAGACACCAGGAGTAGGATCGAGAATATCCACAGTCTTGGCCTGGTTGTGAACAGGCTTGTACTCTGGCTAGGACACAGTCCCAGAGCCCCTTTTCAAAAAGGATTTTCTGCACATACTGAACACACAAGGCCGCATGGCTTATATGTGGGGTGCTGGGTACGTAACCTCCTAGGTACCCTTCATGGAGCGAAATACAAATTCAAGTGTGCATTCACGAGTCACAGGAAGGAATCATTCACACACACACTCGGGCTGGAGAAGGTCAGCCACGAGCCCGAACTGCAAAGTAGAACAAGGGGGAGAACCGGTTTGGAAGATACCTCCGGTGGCCGCTGTGAGTTCAGTTCGGCGGACAAAACCCAGGTATCCTGTCCGAGCCCACAGTGTCTGAGCAGCGTCCCCAAAGCTGAGGCGAGTGTTGAAATGATCAGCCTGAAGAGTCTCGCTGTCGTAGATGGTGTAATAGCCACTGGCCGTGTGGGGACTGTTGACCCAAATCTACAGTAAGGAAGGAGCACCGGTCACAGGTCAGCAGGAATGCACACCTCCACCAACCCAGTTCTCGTGAGACACATCCTTTTTGGCTTTTGAATCTTAATATTTTGTTAACACAACTAAAGTGGCTGATATTTATCAAGTGTTTACTGTGTGTTGAAGGTGAGTTAAGTGCTTGACATGCCTTATCGCCATTCATCCTGACATGTATTACATGACGATCCAGTGCACACTACTGTTCATCCTCTTTTTTACAGATGGAAAAACAAGGAGCTTAGTAACGTGCCTTTGATGCAGAAACCAGGAGACGCACACCCAAGCCCGTAACGGCTACAGAGGCCACGCTCCTAACCACGACGCTACGCTGTCTCCCAGCCTCATCTCTCCGCCTCTTCCAGAGCCTCACATCTGTGCTTCTGAAACTAAAGTACGCAGCCCTCAAGGAAACTTTACAGGCTACTTGAATTTACAATGTAAATACAGCAGTAACTAACAATGATAATAGCACCAGTATTCACTGAAAACTTTCTACAGGACAGGCGTTACAGACGCATGCTGTGAACTATCACACAATTCTTCTAGGTGGTCAGGCAGGTGCAATTATTATTTATAGGTGAGGAAATTGAGGCCTCTGAGAAGCTAAGTAACTTGCCCGATACGGAGAAGCTGACAGAGGCCAGGTCACCTGGCTTCCGCATCGAACCCTCCTCCTAGTAAGCTACGGGGTGAAACCCGTGTCCCTCAGAGACTTGGGGAAAGGAAAATTAGTCTTTAAATTTTTTTTATGCACCTGACAGAAGAAATCCTACATTGTGGTTTGACAATAAACAAGGATGTTTAAAAAATAAAAATTTTAAAAACACAAAAATGGATATAATTTGGAATAGAATATGAAATATATATGAATTTAAAAATTTTGTATTTGTGTATTTTGTATTTGCTCCTTTTAGCGCCATTCCTTAATAGGGGGGAGCAGATAAGATTTGCCCATTCTCATTTAAGGGAATGTCAGAGGGCAAACCTGGGTTTAGTTCTAGTTTGGGTACCCAAGTCTCTCAGTCCTGAGCTCAGTCTCCCCCTTCTGTCCACTGCAGTCTTGTACCTTACAAAGAAAAATTCAAACCTTTTTAAAGATGAAATTCACCATGGGAGAAAGGTGAGCTCCACAGTTCACTGACTTCTAGAATGTGAACCCTTTAAGTATTTTTGTTGACTTTTCAGAACACAGGTAGAAATTGATACGTACCTCTCCAAGGTGAGAGTCTCCAACAGGCCCTTTGGTCTCAGGGTTAACAATAACCACTTTCACTCCAGGTAAAATCTAAGAATTGAAGAAAAAGCACAAAGATTGGGTTCAGTTCTCTCTAATGACCTGTAGGAAATGCAGTTCCCGGTCCTGCTCGCCCTCTGGTAAGTGCACAAGGGAGGGCGCTGAGGCGGCTCTCACGGGACCATCCTCAGTGGAAACGAGTGTTAGGCTCATCCTCAGAATGCGGGAACCAACCAGCCTCCCATGTCTTCAAAGGGATGAGAAATGTCAACCCAGAACCACAACATCAGAACTTGTAACCCCCCTTTTTCATGATTTCTCTTGCCCACAAGAGCGACACCAGGGAAGCCCCTGAAAGCAGGAAGGGCAGCAGGGAGGGATGACCAAGGAGGCCTCTTAGTCAACAGTGAGCGCGAGAGTTAGAGGAACTAGATGTGACAGCAAGAGCGGACAGCGGAAGCTGCAAAATGGGTCCTGACAAACATCACGGATTGGGGCCTCCTCGTGAGGAGGGAGCGGGGGCCGGCTGAGAACGGCTCAGGGCCTGACAAGCCTTCCTGGTTGCCAGCATTGCACCCTTTAGGCCGCCTTTTTTAAACTGGGTTTCTAGAGTATGGGATTACTTGAAAAGAGCTACAATGATGACTGGGTCCGCACATCTGGACCAGGCATTGTGCTAAAGCTCCTGAGGCATCCAAACACCAGCTGAGGTGGACGTAAGCTTGGCCAGGAGGTGAGAAGATCCTCCCGCCTCCACTTCAGAGCAAAGGGTGAAACGGGGTAAGTCCCCCTTGGGGTTAATCCACACAGGGTTAGACATGATCCCTTTTGTGATGCCCAGTTTTCTCTTCCAGAATTACTCGAAGGGATTCTTGGGCATCACCACTCTCTTAATAGCTCAAGCTGATGTTCTGCCACTCTTAGTCCAACTGCTACAGTTGTGTGTCTCCGCGCCACCTCCCCCTCACATTGAAACCTAATCCCCAGTGTGATGTAGGAGGCGGCCAGAGTGTCAGGGTGACTACAGGTCACGAGGGCTGCGTGGATCGCGACCTATATGAAGGAGACCCCGGAGGTTTCTCTCGCCCGCTCTACCTGGTGAGGACACAGTGGCGAGACGGCCGCCTGGGAGTCAGGAATCCCTCCCCGGACACCAAGGCCCAGTGCCGTGAGCCTGGATGTCCCAGCCTCCACACACAGATTATTCCCCGTTGTGTTGAAGCCCCACACGCAACAGTATTAGTAGTTACAGTAGCTCGAAAGAGCAAAGACGATAACTAAATGTCTCCTTGAACATGTTAGAGCTTCATTCTAATCTTGGAATCCTACCCTCATAGAAAATCACTCTGGAATCTTTCATCTGTTTCCCATTTTGGGTTCCCTGTCAGCAGTACATACGTGTGGACCTGCCCTGATCCTAAACCACAGCCCTATCCGCCAGCGCTGTTTTTCTCCTCATAGCATTTATAAAGATAAATTGGCTTTTTTTGGCGTTGCTCATCACACCACCTTAAATGCAATGAACATTGAATTTTGCTGGCTTGTCTAATAAAGAGAACACGTAAGCCGAACTCTTTTTTAATTGTGAAAATCAAGGAGTTTAAATCTAGTATTCGCTTAAGCTATATACCCACAGGAATTAGAAAGTACTGGCTAAGTTGAAGTTGTTGAATAATTTCCAGATTTCAACTAAGACTTGCCGTGGGTATCTGTTGCCCTGGGTATATCCTATGACTTCAGATTTGTTTAAAATGAGCTTCTCTAGGGCCTCCCTGGTGGCGCAGCGGTTGAGCGCTGGGTTGCGAAGCTGCCCGCAGCCTCTGCAGCGCCAGTTCGATCCCCGGCTGCTCCCCGGCCACCTGGAGGAGGGTCCCACATGGCGCGCAGACCTCTCCTGCCGCCCGCTGCTCCCCTCAGCAGTGTACTTCGGTCCTTCTGCCTGCTCTGCTCCCCGCTCTGGCTCTGGTGAATTCTCTCACCCTCCCGCGCTTCTGACTGTACCCAGTGCTTGCATAAACAAATAAATAAATCTTTAAAAAAAAAAAAAAAATGAGCTTCTCTACACAGAGCACCTGCCCAGTGGTTAGCAGAACAAATTACCTTTCCAGACTCTGAGAGGAGTAAGCTCTGGGGGGCACCCCGTTCCACAAGCCGAACCCTGCAGAGAAACAAATTTACTATAGATCAGCCTTAAAAAAATGAATTCCCATCCACTGGTAGCTGTATGCCCGCTCCCCAAGGCCTCTGTCTTGTCTCCTCGTCTCACACTAGAGCAGAGATTCTCACACTCAACACTACTGACATTTTGGATCAGATTATTTTTTTCTGTGCATTACAGGAAGTTTGGCAACATCCCAGGCCTCTCCCCACTAGAGGTCAGTAGTATCCCCTTGTTGTGACAAGCAGAACTGTCCCCAGACATTGTGAAATGTCTTCTGGGGAGCAAAATCTCCCTCGGCTAAGAACTGAGGCATGACAGAGCAGCTTTGCCTGTGCAGGCTGGGCCGGTGCCGCAGGGCACAACGGGGAGCACTGAGGCCTGGGAGAAGTCGCCAGAGGCCTCAGGCCAGGTGTCCGCCGTTAGACACCGCTAAACTCCCTTAAACTCCCTCGGATGCAGACGAGGGGAAGACTTCAGGGAAAGTGTTGCTTCAGAAACCCGACACTGCCTCTTTGAACTCGTCCCATCTCCTCAGCTCCCGGGAGGAAGCTACCCATTTCAGTGTAACGCCTACCAGCAGCTTTGAGGCTGTGAAGACAAAGGGCACCCCCTCCCCAGCCCCCGGGAAGTCCCAGAGGAAAGAGGGAGAGTCCGGGCTTTCCTGAGGCTCAGGACTTCCGATTCTTGGGAACTTGAGGCGGGTGGGGAGGTCCATGCACTGTACCTGTCGTGCCTTAATGATTTCAGGTCTACATACACGGTCGTTGGATCAGGCCCTGAGGTTCCCTAGAGAAAAATAAATCAATACATTGTTCATTGAACATTTAAAGAAACTTTTCATATTTTACATTTTCAAATCAGGAAATGGATCATTTGGCCACATCCATGAAGAAGGAAAGCTCTTCCGAAAGCTGCCCCCTCTTCAAGGTGAGGCGCGGCTGCAGCAAAACTCGAAGACTCACACCCTGGCTTCACCTCCCTCTCTCCCTCCCTCCCGGGCAGCAGGCCCGAGGCCCGAGCCCACGGGCCGTGGCAGCGCTGAGAGGTCCCCAGGCGGAGGAGAGCGAGGAGGAGACAGGTCCCAACCCAGCGGGTTTCAAAACCAGTGCTGGCCGGGGCGGCAGCAGGTGTGGCGCTGCTCGGGAAGTTACTCGCCCGCCGCCGCCGCCGCGGGGCACCTGTAGCTGCGCAAAATCAGATTCGGTTCTTTCGTTACTTCAATCTCTTTCCTGTTATTTACATACCAAGAATAACCCGGCAATGGTTGCATTTGGGCTAAAGAAACGAATACGGGCTTTTGCGGTGCTTTTTTCCTTTGCAAACATTATGAAACAAAATAAATTATAAATTCAATATGTTGAATTTATAACATAAATTCAAATAGGACTCAAATCATCTAGGTTCATCCTCGCAGGCCAGGAACTCAGCGTTAGCCCACGGCCTGCGAGCCCCCGGGCAGCGCCCTGAGGACGAAGAGGAGCCCTCCAGGAGCTGCGGCGGCCCCTACGGAGGGACCCTGCCAAGGGTCGCGCTGTTCGCAAAATGGCAAGTGGAACTTAGCGTGAAGGCTCAGGCCAGGCAGAAGCAGCTGGAGGCCGCCGCTGCACCACACCCCACACACCTCTTTCCCTGTTACCACGCAAGGGTCAGAGCAGTCACCTGCAAACATATGGCTACATTGACTCTGGACCCGAAAGTGGTGCTGACGGCCCGCGGCGACAGCCCGATGTCTTTGAAGAGCTTGGAGAAGGACTGCTGCAGGGCGATGCGCGGCCGCTCCTCGGCCACCACCACGCACGTCCGGATGCAGGACAGGTTGATCCCTCGGGTCTGCAAGACAGCACGCGGCAAGGTGACCGGGCCCCGCCGAGCCTGGACCGGGCGGGGCCGCTGCCCTATCCCCGCGCTCACCCCGGACAAAAGCCAAATGTTTTGGGAGCAGGCCCAGGCATTCCACCACCATCATGGCCACTGGCCAGCGTGCTCATGCTCTTCTTTCTCCTCTCAGAATTGCTGGCCTCTGCACCTGTGTGACTTTAATCCTCCCTATTCCAAAATGGAGACCTGGGGCTGAGGGGAAAATCTAGCTGGAAGCCTGGAGAGAGACTCTCGTCTGTTTCATTTTTAGGGTCGCAGTTCTCTTCGCGGCAGCATTCCGTGTTTTCTGACTCTCACGTGCCAGTCACACTCACGATCCCTGTGCAACCTTTCCCGGGGGGGCGGCCCCCAGTAGCTAATACTGAAGCTGCACATTCTTTTGGGAAAAATCTCACTGGCGGGTACAGTTTCTCTTATCTTTAGGTGAAGCATTTCCATTCAGCTTCCCAACCAGAGCAACACGCGGATTAAACTCCAGACGAGTACATGAAATTAGAAAGTAGAACAAAACTCCCTGAGGCTTCCGAAGCCTCAGGCTAGAAATAAGCAGGCAGCTATGTCCGTGAACCACAGCTCGGCCTTTTGGCTGCCATCAAGCGCAGGCATGGCGACCAGCCCAGCCCCACCTGGGATCACCGCGACCTGCTCCCTTTCCTTAAAGCTCTCGGGACCGGCCCCTTGCTACGAAGCACCTTACCTTCAGCACCTCCACTTGGTTCCCAAGCCCTTTGGTGCAGAGCTCCATGACGGAATAGGAGCAGAACGTGTCCCTTATCTTGTACTGGCTGACGGTGGACAGCCAGAGGAAGAGGTTGTTCTCCAGCTCCATAGGAGGAATTAAGATGGACTGGTGGCCCGAGTAGACGCTGCAGTGAGGAAAGAGAAGAGCGACGTGAGCGACTGATCCCAGACGCCGCGATGTTTCAGAAACCATCACTTCACAAATATCGACTGAATATGAAGGACAGTGTAGGGCTGTATTAGTTATAAAAAAGAATAAGGCTCGTTCCTATACAAATCACAGGATGCAAAAACTTAGAGCAGACTGGAATGTGCACTAATTTCCTAAGATGTGACTGAAGAGCCAAATCACAGAATGAAAAGTTCCAACTGGGGTGTGCGGCAGGGCGGGGCGGGGCTCCACTGCAGCGCCGACACGGAGCTGGGAATGGAAGAATGAACCACGATTTGACAGTGGCTGGAGGAAGGCTGGGCCGTGGCGAGGGCACTGCAGAGAGAGGACGCGTACACGCACAGGCAGGGAGGTGTAAAAGCACACGCTGTTTAAGGCTGTCAGCAACGGTGTTCCCGTCTGCACCGCCAGGGCACAGGACGCGACGGGGAGAGCTAAGTGCTAGGGCCCGAGGGCAGCAGCCAGACTGACTGAAAGGGCTTGATGATTCTATGACGGAGTTCAGACCTCCCCAGCAGGCCGTCACTGCAGCTTTAAGCTGCGGTGACACTAGCAACACGGAGGCGGGACTGGAGACAGGAGACAGAGGCTGAGACAGGAGAGGCTGCAACACGGCAGCCAGGACGAGGAGGAACTGCAGTCACACGCATCACACGCATGATCCACTGCCACGATTCCTCAACTTGACTCACAAGGACCCCAGGAGTCCTGCATTACAAGAAATACTGAAACTGTGGCCCCTGCCTCTGGAGATCTAAGTAAGTCTGGGGAAGGCCCATTCGCTGTAGTTTTTAAAGACTCCCAGGTGATCTTTACGTAAAGATAGGTTTAGGAACAACTGAGTCAATGACGTGACATTTAATTGGATGAGAGACATCAAGAAATAGAAGACAATCCCCCGGCTCCTGGTCTGCGTCTCTCACCGAACGCTCTCCTCCCAGCTAACACGGAGACGTGGAGGGGTGCGGAGACACAGGTGTCCGCCAAACACACGTGGCGATGTCTACCGTGGAGGCAGAAATGCAGTTTGAGGTAAGGCTCCCTGGAAGGCGGAAGAAGTGGGGATCTGCTTTCCCGTGAAAACAATCTGACGGGACAAACGTGCTGCTCCGCAGTCACGCTGTCACCCTCAGATTCCTTCCTGCCAAGCCCAGGGTGCGCTCTGGCTGTCGAAGCATGACATGCTCCACCCTCGCTCTCCCTCCTCCTTGGCTCTGCTTCTAACATGAGGATTAGGATGGAGCAGAGAGCAGGTAACAAGATCACTGTCCTTTTGTTGAAGGCCTAAAACCAACATTAGAGGAACAAAGGAAATCCCCAAAAAATAAACAAACACCAGCAACGCATTAGAAGCACCAATTCTGGTGACGTGGGCATTTTCTCAAAACTTTACCAAATGAAGGGAGCAAGGAGAAAGGGGAGATGGCTCTAGCCCCCAAGACAACCCCACGCCTTTGGCTTCTTGGCTTCCCCATGCCTACCTGCAGAGACACCAGAGGGCAAAGCCAAGTCCACAATAAGGGTCAAGGCAGATGGCGATCTGCCGCGAGGAATAGAGCTCGCACTGCAGCTTGATGGCTCTGCAGAGCGCGCTCACCGCGGCGTGGGACATCTGCAAAGGAAGGACACGGGCCGGGGATGAACTGGCATCTCACGCAAGAACCACGCTGTTCATTTTGAGAAGTTTCCATTCCCTCAAACTCCTCAAAATGATGTACCTTCTTCATTGCTTCACAGCCTAATCCAACTCAAAACATTTTTGTTCACTAGTCATTCCTGAGTTTTATAAAAGAGGAATTTGATCTGGTACTGGCTTTAACTGTAGCTCAGAGTTAGCTTCTGTGGTAGGTTCAGAACACTTCATAACACAAATTCCTTGGGATAACTTATTCCGGAAGAGCCAATGCTTTAATTTAAATATAGCAGGGACCCTTGATCCTCCGCCTACTGGTCTCTGGCACGACCAGCTGGCCTCTGCATCTGAAGTCCCCGGGGCAGTGGTCATCTTTATTTTCTGCAAACCTGGCATTTGCCCCGTGAATGTGTCAGGCCACTCTACCTTCACTCCTGTAAGCATGCCCGTCGTGGAGACACTAAAATCCAGATAGGCCAACATCTCAGGAGTCGGGGGTTTATACAGCTGAGGTAACCTTTTCCTGGGTAAATCATCTGCAATAAAAAGAAAAAACCTGATGTCAACCAGACACGGGACGTGAAAATCAATGTTTTTCAACCAATGTTCTGTTTCTGTGGCTTTGCTAAGGTCAAATTTAACTTCTGGGATTTGCTAAAGCTTAGGCTTCTCACATCTAAGCAGCTCAGATATGTAGGGGTTGAAGACACCACTAGACAATACAAACATGCAACAGGCTGGTCAGCTAGCCGCAGCTGCTAGGGTAGTGGTGGGATGTAACACAGCAGCTGAGAACACGGACCAAGGAAGCAGACTTAAGGAAGAGTATTCAAATCCCAGCTCTGCCACTTCTCAGTGATGTGACCTTGGACTTACTTAACCTGTTTCTGTCTTTCTAAAATGGCCACAACACCTACCCTCAAAATGGAAATTAATTCACATAAAGCATTTTTATTATTTTTTTGGGGAAAGATTTATTTATTTATGCATACAAGAGCTGGGATAGAGGCCAGAGGTGCGAGGGGTGAGAGGATTCACCAGAGACAGGGCGGGGAACAGAACAGGCGGATCTACTGAAATACACTGCTGAGGGGAGCAGCGGGTGAATCAGGAGAGGTCTGCTGGGTCATGTGGGTAGCTCCCTGGCCGGGGATCGAACTCGTGCTGCAGAGGCTGCGGACAGCTTCATAGGTTGCATCTTAACCCCTTTTGCCACCAGGGAGGCCCCCACATAAAGCATTTTTAAAACAACTCAAAAAGCTTCAGTTGTCATCAAGCTGATTTCAAGTTAAGCTTCATGATTTATGGTTTAGGACATGTTACATTAATCATGGATTGCTTTAAAAGCTGGACATGTCAACATGTTAACATGGCAGATTTTTGAGACTGATAATCTAGCATTGGAATTGTTTCCCCTGCTCTTTATAATACCTCTCCATTATTCCCAAATTTGCTTTAAAAGTAGATAAAGTATGTTCAAACCTAAATAAAAAATGTGGTTCAACTGGCACACAACAGCCACAGATACATGGCCTCCCTGCACTGAAATCCACAGAGATTATTCTTGAGAGGGGCACTGTGTGGTGCTCACCGAAGACAGGTAGGGAAGAAATGGAATGGTTAAGAGGCTGGGAATGGAGCCAAACTGACTGGGTTTGAATTTCAGTTCTGTGCCCCAGTTTTCACATTTGTAAAGTGAGGATAAAAAGAGCACCTATCCAACAGGTCGGGGGTAAGGGCAAAAGCAGGTACTACATTTTAGATGACTGGCATGTGGAAAGGGCACAACAGAAATCAGATGTTGTTATGATTATGTGTCGGCTCTTTCCATGATGTCATTTAATCTTTACAACCCCCAATTTTATAGACCGATTTGTCCAAGTTACAGAGGCTAACAGATGTATCGGGATTTAAACCACATCTTCTTGACCCCAAAACCCACATGTGTATTATCCCTTCTTTAATATGACTAAACCTAAATTTCGCGCACTTGATGGGTTTCAAAGTGCTTTCACATGACAAGCTTTTTTTTTTTTTTTTTGAAGATTTTTTTTTTTTTTTTTTTTTTAAGATTCACTTTTTTATTTGTACAAGCACTGGGTACAGTCAGAAGCGCGGGAGGGTGAGAGAATTCACCAGAGCCAGAGCAGGGAGCAGAGCAGGCAGAAGGACCGAAGCACACTGCTGAGGGGAGCAGCGGGCGGCAGGAGAGGTCTGCGCGCCATGTGGGACCCTCCTCCGGTGGCCAGGGAGCAGCCGGGGATCGACCCGGCGCTGCAGAGGCTGCGGGCAGCTTCACAACCCAGCACTCAACCGCTGAGCCACCGGGGAGGCCCAACATGACAAGCTTTTGATATTCTTAATAAACACACGAGTCAGACAGCATTTTAGGGAGGGCAATCTCAGATGAGGTTATACAGGCAGTGCTGATCTTGAACTAGAAGCAGAGTTTTGACTTCAAGTCAAATGCTGTTTCAACTATACCACATCCGGAAGACACGAATCAGAGATTTTCAATACTTTACAGGGCCCTCCATGCACACTGTCGCATCTGGCGTAAACCTACCAAACCATTTAATGATGACAAAACACTTTGTTTCAAGAGTTTTTAGCACATTGGTCTCTGCTGCTTTGGATCTGGCTGCTGTAGTATCCAGCCCTTCGGAAATATAAGCTGACTGGGTATTAAGTTTCGCCTCTGTTTTAGCATGTGGAATGTAATGCAACCTAAAAGCTGTGTGAACAGCCTTGGCCTGAGAATCTAGGAAATTTCAGAGGTGAATGTTCCTGCTCCCCAACAGTCTGGAGACGTCTCCCTTTCACCTGTGTCAATGATGGTTGGCCAAGTTTTCACATCCACAGCTGCCGCTGCCTCTCGGGACCTCAGCAACCTCATCAGTGTCTGGGTGGTAAGAATGCAGGCTGCTTTGCTGACCTAGAACACAAATGGACAGAAATAAGCACCTGGCTAACGCTACCTGCACCTGTGCAGCATTCCAGACAGCAGCGTCAGTGTTTAAAGAGCACACATAGGACAGAGCCGGTCAGTGCTTTCCCTGACGTTTATCCTGGACTGTGCAACACCTGACTGTCTCACAACGACAGACTGCTCACAAGGCAAGTTACTGTTGAAAATGGTAACTCTCCAACATTCCACAGTTATCTTAGTATTGATCTCCCAGTTTTTTGATTGCATGAAGACCATGATAAAATAAAAATACAGAGTTTTGTAGCGCTCAGGGATTGAGGAGTCAGACGATCATGTCTGAAGGAGTCAATGTTTTGCAACAACTTAGTGAACGGCGAAACTTGCTAGCCCGAGAGCAGAGTCTAAACGTGAGAGACCGTGTGCTCACAGAAACTGAGCTTCCTGCGCGCTTGCACATGGAAACAAAGGCAAGGTGCCCGACGCCCCCCATAACTGTCGGTGGAAGGGCACCCCCACTCCCCTCTCTGCTTCTCCTCCTACTTTGCAGAATACAACAAGACAATTTGTGGAAATGAACTTTTCTAATAAAACCATCTGTGGCCAGCATGGCTTTTATTTATTTTCACTGGACCATCCTATGTTCCCCCCAATGTCCCTGAGAGGCCCTCTTGTCCCTCTCTCCTCTCCCTCCCCTCTTAACCTCAGAACCCTCATGGTGTTTGCTAATGTTCATTAGTTTTTCTAAGTATTTTACTTTATCAAATCATGTGCTGTGCAAAATGGCCACTATTTCTTTTTCATTCTGACATACCGTACTGTGGATAATTCTCCCAAACTTGCTCCTTTTTCCTGAAAATAACTCCACTTTCCTTTCCTGATGGAAAAACTGCATCTTCCTGATCCTGTCACCCACTGGTGGACATTCGGGCTGCTTTCATGTTCTAGCTATTGTCGACAGCGCTGTAATAAACACCGTAGGGCCTACGTATTTTGCCTGGATGGTTTCATACTTGTCGACTACATGCCCAAGACCCCAGTTTCTGGGTAGAATATATTCCCATTTTTATTTTTCTAAGGTGAATCCAGAATGCTCTCCTTGGTTCCCCTACCTCTACACCCCCTCCAGCACTTGTTGGTTTTATTTATTTTATTCCTTTTTAACATCTCAGGGATATGAGATGGTTTCTATGGTTTCAAATTTCATTTCTCTCATTGGACGCAAAGATGAACATTTTTTCACATATCATTGGCACCTGCTGGATATTCTCTTTGGCAAACTGCTCATATCTGCTCATATCTCATTTACTAACAATTGTTTTTTCTACTGCTAAGTTGTGTGAGTTGTTTTATATATCTTGAATATTAACATCTTATCAGTTACATATTGTGTGAATATTTTTCTCCCATTCAGTAGGATGCCTCTTTAATCATCTATTTTCTTTTGCTGCATGAAAGTGTTTCATTTGAGGCACCCCAATTGTTTATTTTTGCTTTTGTTTCCCATGATAAAAGGGCCAAGTCTCCAAAATTATCTTTATTATCATTTATGTCACAGAACATATTACCAGTGCTTTCTGTTACATATTTTATTGGTCTTATACCCAAATCTTTAAAATATTTGTAATTAGTTGTGTGTGTGGAGTTAAGAGAGTGACCTAACTTCATTTTTTTATGTGTGGCTTTCCATTCATAATAACCTGGGTTATTGTGAAGAAATAGTATTAAAAAAGACTGAATGGGGAAAAGAAAATTTTATCAAGACTTACTACTGATAGCCTTAGCACCTACATGTTCATGATAAACGTGCAGAATTCTGTAACTCACCAATAACCACTTTCCCATACTCCTTCACTGAATAATACTGGCCACTCTGGTCAAGTTAAGGAAATAGAGGTAGTTTTAAGGAGACAGATTTGACTTCCCAACTCAACAAAACTTGAAAATTAGAAGACTCCTCAGTTGTTTAAATCTGGATTTTATGAGCTGACAAGGCGAGATATACCGGTACTTACATCCACAATCATGCGGACGGTGGGCAACGTGGCAGTGAGGTTCTGGGCGTGAGGGGGCCGGACGGTCACAGGTATGCACCCCGTGTACAGGCAGCCATAGAATGCTGCGATCAACTCGATACCTGCAACACAGAGTCACGTGCCTGCCTAGTATCGCTGAGAAACTAACAGGCAGATCTTCTAAAACCTGTTTATTAAATCATGTACCAGATGGGTTATTCAGATGACAATTTAGCAGAGGCAATTGAAGAAATTTTTTAAAAGTTAAGGAAGAACATGTAAAATATGATGGATAAAGAGAAGCCAGAGTAAATAACAAGGAACAAAGTCAGAAGTAAAGGAAACTCTTGAAAGATACTTCTAGAAGGTATTCTGGCATCATTATTTGATATACTTAGAAGAAATAACTGCAGAAATTAGGGGCTGCTTAACTTGGGAAGCAAAATAATAGGGAAAGGAGAGATGAAGAAGGGCTGGACTTCAAGGATCTAGAAGGCCCTTATGTGAAAAACAACTAGTTTGAGGGAGGCAAAGCATGACCACATGGAGACAGCCCTGTGACACCAGGACATGGTGCGTGGCCTCCACAGCCGGGGCTCTGCTTCCCCTCCTCACTCACCAGGAGATGGAAGACAACACACAGGAATATTACAGGAGGGCCCCTTTACCAAATGACTTTCTAAGAAATCTTAGCACCAGTGTAAATAAAACAGGACAGTAAGAATCACAGAGCAAAGGAAGTACGGGAGATAAAAGACCAACGAAGGCCTGAGACATGAGGAGGTGACAGAGGACTGACGATGCGGGAAACTCAAATACTTCAGCTAAAATTTTGAATAGTTATGCCAAATGATCACCACATAATTCTAAATCTCTCTTAGTATGAAAAACAGATTGTTGAATTAAAGCAAGGAAGCTGAAAGCAGTAATTATCAAAGAATAGTAAACATACGGTTAACATAAAGAATACTGAATCAAAAGACTTCATGCTTTTGGAAACTGTGTGACGTGGTCCCATTCCTAAACACTCCCAAAGACAAAGCATCTCTTCTGAGGATTTCCAAAAGTTGTTTCATTCATTCAGTATTGACCGTTGTGCCGGCACTGTGCTGGATACAACAGTGAGACAGACAGGCCCCAGCAGAGCCAGCGGGCTACAAGGCTTGGGGGTATGGTGGGGTGGTCTTGGCTTGCACCCTAGCCTGCATGTGGTTGCTCCCAGAGAGGGGCGTGTGCACCCTACACAGTCATACATAGCATCCCTGAGTTCCTGTCCCCCTAGAGTCTGCAGTCTGGTAATGGCACTGAAATCCGGCCCACCAACACGACACTTACCAGGTGGATAGAGCAACACCACATTGTCTCCTGCATTCAGATGACCCTTGTCACCAAGCACTGATGCAATCCTCTCCGCGCGCTTATGAAGCTGAAGGCAGCTCGCTGTGCACACGGTAGTTCCCTTTGAACAAAAGAAAGTATAAGCTAGTCAAGACTCAAGGAAATAAGGCACAATTAAAGCCAGTTTCCCACGATAACAGCAAGGCTTATGCCTGGGAAGAGCATCTCAACAAAGCATCAATCCCCGGGAAAATTTCCCTGGAACCAAAGGTGTATGTGCTATTTCTTTTTATTATCAGTATCTGAAGGTAATTAAGGAATATCAACATTATTTTTTTTTACAAATTTATTAAGCTCTTTTTTAAAAAAAAAGATTTATTTATTTATAGAAGCACTGGGTATAGTCAGAAGGGCGGGAGGGTGAGAGAATTCACCAGAGCCAGAGTGGGGAGCAGAGCAGGCAGAAGGACCGAAGTACACTGCTGAGGGGAGCAGCGGGCGGCAGGAGAGGTCTGCGCGCCATGTGGGACCTCCGGTGGCTGGGGAGCAGCCGGGGATCGAACCGGCGCTGCAGAGGCTGCGGGCAGCTTCGCAACCCAGTGCTCAACAGCTGCGCCACCAGGGAGGCCCTATCAACATTATTTAAATCAAGCATATGTATTTAAATCCCTTGTTCAAGGTAGTTTTAGAAACACATCGGGATCTATTTAAAGGAAGAAACAAGAATAGAGGGAAAATAAATGAACTGAAAGCAGGAGGAAGGCAGAGTGAGGTCAGGACAATAAATGATGACCATCTAGTCCCAAGTACTTGCTACACATAAAACAGGTTTGAATAAACAAACAAATCACACCCCAAAACCAGAAACCACAAGTTTGCTTGTAAGTTTTCTAACAACAAGGTGTAAGCAATAACAGTGAATGCAAGTCCACTGTAATAAAGACAGGCAGATTAGGAGATGACCAATCATTCCCTGAGGATAAGTTCTCCTGTGGGTTTTCATAAATGCTCCATCCTTATCTGCAATTCAAGTTTCACAGTTCTGGGCCTTTTGAACCCCTTTCCCATGAAAGACCTAACACACAAATGGGATTAAGAATGTGTAGCTTAATGAAAAATTAAAAGCAAACGTGTGAGAACTAGCGTGACATGAAAAAAGACCTCCACACAGCTCAAAAGCATGGCATGGGTTACCCCACTCAGCTTCCTATTTCCCTCCATAAGAAAAAACTACCTTGATTTTTTTAATATTAATCACTGATTTCTTTTCCTTTATATTTTTACTATCCATGAAAAATTGGGGATTTACTACCCACAGAATTGAGCTGCTATACTTCTGTCCTTTGTTTCTTTCTCAACATTATCTTAAGAGTCATCTTTGCTGCTGTGCGTGTCTAGTTCATTCATTTTTGTTGCTGTATAATAATGAATGTACAACAATTTATTCACCCATTGACTGCTGATGGACACTGGCATTCCTGTACATAGACCCTGGTGCATAAATATATGAGTTTTGGTAGGGTACAGACCTAGAGATGGAAGTGCTGGGTCACTGGGTACACATATCTCAAACTTTACTGGATGATGTCAAGTTATCCTTTGTCTACTGTGTCAGTATCACACTCTCTTAAGTGTCATAACTTTGTAACTCAAAAAAACATTAAAAATAAGTTTTATTGTGTCACTCTTTTTAAAAATGTGTTTATTTCATTTATATAAAGTAGTATATATTCAATATAGAAAATTTGAAAATATAAATATAACCCTTCTAGTAAGATGTAAACACTATTAACATTTCAGTGCATGTTTTCCTGGCTTTTTAAAATTTATATATTACATAAATTCACATGCAAGATTAAAAAAAAGAAAAGAATATCATACTCTACTAACTGCCACAGGTAGTGCTAATAAAATCATGTCCTAGAACATTCCTCTTTTGGGTTCATGGTACAAGAGCAAATTAAACTCGAGTAAAATAATTTTCTGGGTTTGAGGGAACAATGTCATATGGTTACTAAACTTCCTAGTGACCTGGGCCAGCCCAAAGTAAATGTTAGAATATGCAGAAGAATAAATAGATTACATGTCCTTTAGTCATCCACATGTAATATTTCTCTAACCAAGAGGCAAATTCAAACTCATGCTCACAAAAAAAAATCTGTGGCATGGATTTCGTAGGGCCATAACTAACTGTAGCCAGCTTAGAAGTGAACAGGGGAGCCGACATCCTCTTACTGAAATGAACCCATGGACTTGAAGAGAAGCCCACTTCATGCAGAGGTGGGGCAATGAAGTCTCCAAGTTTTCCATTCTAGAGCACTGCTTCTGAAGGTATTTGATTACTTTTCACTAAGACGTACAGCAGATTTCCCTCATTACAGTCTATCACTGAAGTTCCTAAAGGTGTGTGTTACATGCACATGCGCACATGTGTTACATGCGCACATGCACTCACACACACATTATCAGAACCGAGAGGGCCTCCATAAGGAGGCAATTTGGATAGGTTCCCTAAGAGAATCTAATAGGCCCTCCAGGCTTTTCCCTGCTGGTGAGAAATACTGCTATATTCCACGGGCACAGTACTTTTAGCCTCTGACTCAGCTATTAAAGTAAATGTCCACAGAATGCATTATTTTAAAACACAATAATCTGGTGACCCTCCACTAAAAGATATTAAATACATTCTTATATAATTTTCCATATGTTTTTCATCTGTTAGCAAGAAATCTTTTAAGTCATGTATTAAAAAACCTGTTTTTTAAAATGTTGATTTAAAGTCATTTTCTCTTTGGCAGAAATTTTAAAAATGTCAAATTGGATAAAAAATTTGACGACGTAATGCCTTCTATACATCTACAGATCTAAGTAACTGCAACGCTGGCCCCACCATTCCTATCAGACCTGAATAAAGAGAACTTGATTGTAACAAGAAGAGACAGTATTAAATAACACTCCATCGGGTCTCATTTCGACCTTGAAGTATTGCACAATTTATCCTCATATGTTAAAACAAGGAGAAAGCTATAGCTACTTCTTCAAAGTTGGCAACTGAAATTTTTCTGATGAAAGATCAAGAATGCCTAAAATACTCTGACAATAATTAGCTCATTAGAGATACAATTGGATTGTTAATACCTTGGCATTTAGCAGCATGAAGAGTACATGGTCAGGCGTTGCCTGGGCTCGCCACTGTAAAATCTCGGCCAGAAACTGGTGCTAAAGTCACGAAGCAGAAAAAAAGAATCAGAGTCAGCAAGATTTAAAAAGTTACCTTAAGTGTAAGTTCTGTCCTTAACTTGCTTATAAAAATCAATGCTCTGGAACGCTTACCTTTCTCACTAAATCATTCTCTTCAATTTGCCCAAGGTCTCTCCCTGCAGCTTGTGCTATACGTTTTCCAGCAACCAGATTCCCAACCATCACAGAAGCAGGACCGACACCTACAAGGAAAGGCAAAAACCAACTCTCTGGAGGTGGAGATGGAGCCAAGTAGCCCCAAAGCATCCCAGACTGACCCAAACTGGTTCAAATGTTCATACATCAATGCCAATTCAGTGCTCCTTGAGGCACTGGGAATACAACAGAAGAAAACAGCTTATATTCTACTGGGGAAAGGCAACCAATAAGTACATGCACAAATAAATACTGTCGAGTAGCAGGAAATGCTAGGGGAAAAAAATCCAGGATTATGGGAGACAGAGGGATTGGAAGGGAGCAGGGTGAGTGGAGCAGGTGGGCTCCTGTAGGTGGATATAGGGAGGTACATTATTCACTGGTTCCTGTTGATAAATAATCTCATTTGCTCCAGACATACTACCCTTAAAGTGGGCTTAACAGTAATGAATATTGGGCCTGGAAAGAAGGCTGCCATCCATGAGATTGCAGGAATAGCAGAAGATTTTCATTAAATTGTGGGATATTCAATAAGAAAACTGGCCTGGATTCTTCAAAAATGTCCATGTCAAAATAAGGCTGAGAAGTCTAAATTAAAACAACACAATAGTCAAATGCAATGTATGACTTTGACTTAACAGTGGATTTAAAAAGAAAAATTCAAACATAAACAAGTGGAAAAACCTGAATATGCAGTATGCATTATTTGATGATAGTATTATATTAAAGTTAAATTTCTTAATTGGATAATGGCATTATGGCTGGTAAGGAAAAATTTAAGAGACTATTTTGCTTTTTGGGGCTACACTGTGGAAATACTCAGGGGCTAGGTGTCATGCCTGCAATTTACTTACAAAGTTTGGTATGAAGATGTTGTTTGGTGAATCTAGGGAAAGGTATATGGGTCTTCATTACACTATTCTTTTAACTTTTCCCCACGGATTTGAAACTTCAAAATAAAATGGAAGAACTCTCCTCCTCTCAAGAAAAGAAGTGCTAGGAATTGGATAACTTTCTTAGAGGTTACTTAAAGGTTAAGATGCTACTGTCTCAAACTAAGAAGATGGCTAAAAGATAAAATTTATTGCCAGCTGAGCTTTTAATAACGCTGATGCTACACTTGGCTTACTAAATAATTTTTATTTCTAAAATCTGTTGGTTCTGAATGTTGGTCCTGTTGTTTCCAGCTGAAAGAAAAATCACTGAAATTATGCTTTTTAACATTTGAGGAAGCTGGGAAAGGGTGTAACTGGATTATTTGGGAACTTTTTTATAAGTGTGGAATTATTTCAAAATGAAGTTAAAAAATTAAACATCAACTATAAAACTTAAAAAGGAGGTAATATTCCAGCTCTCTGACTGCTGAATACTTTTGGTCTCCAAAGTGTCTATTGCAATTTTTAAGTATAATCTGCAAAATTCCTTCCTAAGAAACTACATAAATTATAGTTACATGAAGGTGGAGATAGCCTTTTATAGAGACAGGATCTCAGAATATTTGACTATGTAAGTTGTCCAATCCAGTAAAATTAATAAAGATGTGACATTTTAAAAAGGGAAATTTTCAGTGGCGCTTAAAAAACAAAAAAATATAGCAGCAATTTTCTTGAGTTCCTTATGTGTCATTTCTTGAGTTTACGGGTCACAGAAAATGAAAACATAACTGAAAGCAGTAACATCTAGGGGGCTTATTGCTTACTGCTGTAATATACCTTTTTATTTTCCCCACAGAATTGTAAATTTCCCTTGGAAAATATTGCTACTCATCAATTCCAATATTTATTCTCCATTGCTCCCTAATAACAGAACTGCCACTTTTCAGTTGGCCAATGCCTGGAATAAAGACTGTATTCTTTAGCGTGACAACAATACATAAGAGGAAGTAATCCACGAAACTCTAGAAAATACAATGAAACAGGAAGGGTATTCCCGTCTTTGCCTTTTTCTCTCACCTGGAATGCAGAAAGGATGGCCGGAGGTCAGGAAGCCTCACTGGGCCCTGACTCTGTATGTGAAGGAAGCTGTGGCAGAGGACTTCATTTTCTTAACATGCTTTCCTACCTGCCCTTGCTGTGATTACACGGGAGGAGCACACTGCTCTGCTCCATTCACTTTGGGCATGGTCTCACTTGTCTCAGACAATGAAATGTGAGGAGACATGACACAAACAGAAGCTTGGATGTGTTTGCATGGCTTGGCCTGCCTTCATGCTTCTGCCATCTGCCTTGAGAAGAATGTGGCCCAGGTAGCTGCTGGTCCCAAGGCGAGGAGACACATGGAACAGTGAACCCAGCCTTCACGCTGGAGCCAAGCCAGCCCCTGTCTATCTCAGCCAAACTACGTCTTATGAGTGAAAAATAAAAGCTTGTTTTAAGCCACTGAGTTTCAGTGTCATTGTTATGCAACCAAATGTGGGAAGGTTAGGAAGGGAAGAGAAAGTGTGGCATTTAATTATATTTCTGTAAGATACCTTTTACTAAAGATAAACATGATGTACAATAATAAAATATAAGGTAAGGTTGACTCTTTAGCATGTTTTTATGAGGGTATTAAATTACTGTTACTATGATCCGCAAATATTTACTTCCATGATCTGCTGTGTGAACTGCTTACCACAGTTATTTAGATGTAACTGTCAGTTCAGCAACTAATCTTATATTATTGTACATCATGTTTAAGCCACTGAGTTTCAGTGTCATTTGTTATGCAGCATACCTATAACAATTAATGAGTAACAACTCACTAATCCTAAGGCAGAACAAAAAGATGGGAAACTAGAACACAATGATTGAGGAATTACCATCTTATCCCTGGACTGCCTAGCTCTAGATTTCTTTTACCTGAGAAAGAAACAAACTTGTCTCTTAATACCTTTTTCATCTTCCTTTTTCTCTTTCCTTTCTGACCTCACTCCTACCCATCTTCACTTTCCTGTATTCTTAACCCCCAACCTCTCATGCTATGCCCACATCACCCACATCTCATCAATGCCATGATTTTCAAACTGCTTTGGTCTGACTCATAGGCACCCCATTAAGATCTTAGAGGGCAATCAAAATGGAGAGCAAAAATACAGACTCCAAACCTAATGCTTTCATCAGACTGTTGCTATACCTATGGGGGCGTGGAATAAACCTTTCATGTAGGTTTTATCATTTAATAAAACTGGTTGAAATTTGACTAGCAAAACAGTTTTAAGCAGCTACTATGTCTCTAAGTAGCATATAATGTGACATCAAAGTTTTGTTAAGAGAATCCTAGATTAAATACTATTTAAATTGATTTCACCTATATGGCAAATAAATACATGACTTCAGTGTAACAGGATTTGAGGGGGATTTGTGTGTTTTATACATGTGTAAGATATTTAGGCAAACAATGTGTTTTGAAGAGATTTCTATTTATACATTTCTTGATTAGTAATGTACAGACTTTTTGATTTTTAACTACCCCTTCAGAAAATTAGCCTCCATAAACTCCTATTTCCACTAGCAAAAACTGATAAATATACAAAGCCAGCATATTACCTGGTTGCTTTTGCCGGGGTTTTGGCAAATTGGTGACACACGTATGTGGGCACATGAGGATATTGCAAGGATGCAGAGAGCCCTCCAGAAAGAGCTGTTTAGTCTGAGATATATGGATCCCTCCTAGTGGAGTTTTTGGCAATGTATTGGCAGGTACCAGAGCAAGACAATAAACACCAACTTGATGAATGCTATCAATGGCCTAGAAAAAACAGAAAGAAAATTATTCAATGAGATTAATTTGACTACATTTGACATATTCCTGACATACTCCATTATTTCACTTGGATTTTCTTTTTCTATCTATTCCAGGTCTAGAATCTGTTAATTATTAAAATCTCATATTCAGTAATGGCAGAAATTAACAGAAGGGGTAAGCATGGACAAAGGTACATACTGGTCTACATATCCTAGTATATTCTGTCTTGTGTGATAAGGTCAAAAAACCTTGAAATTTGTTTAGATGCTTTTAAGATTTTAGCTGTCTAACACTGGTCAGTTAAATAGAGGCTAAGTTGTTTTTTTTTTTTGAGTTTTGACTTTCTTAAATGATTCATGAGTTGGCAGCATCCCATCAAGTATTTTTATTATGACTACAACAGAAACTTTGTAAAAAGGCCTCTGCTTAGGTGGTTCAAGAAGTTACCAGGAATCCACTCTGCAAACCAGGTGTGGCCCCTGCTCACTGGGCCATGAAGGCCATAAGCTCCCTCAGTGCTTCTGCAACTATTGTGCCAGCTGTTCTTGTTACTATGTACATAAAATTTAACTAATATATCAGTTGATAAAAGATGAGTGCAAAAAGAGTTATGTTTTAGAAAGATTCATTGAAGGTGAGCTCCTAAAAAACTACTATTCACAGGTATGGGCAAGTTAAATCTAAAAGTCCCTTTACAAATACTTATATTCTATTTTTTTTTTCTTTTTTTTTTTTTTTTTAAGATTTATTTATTTGTTTGTTTGTTGTTTATACATGCACTGGGCACAGTCAGAAGCGCGGGAGGGTGAGAGGATTCACCAGAGCCAGAGCGGGGAGCAGAGCAGGCAGAAGGACCGAAGTACACTGCTGAGGGGAGCAGCGGGCGGCAGGAGAGGTCTGCGCGCCATGTGGGACCCTCCTCCGGTGGCCGGGGAGCAGCCGGGGATCGAACCGGTGCCGCAGAGGCCGCAGGCAGCTTCGCAACCCAGCGCTCAACTGCTGCGCCACCAGGGAGGCCCTACAAATACTTATATTCTAGACTAATTTAAAAGAAACGAAGCTGGAAACCAAAGACAGTATGTTGGGATGTAGTTTACAGAAATAAGTTCACCTGGCATATAAAATGACAACATATTGGTATGTTTTGTATTAAAATATAATACTCGAGGGCCTCCCTAGTGGTGCAGGCGGTTCAGGGCAGCACTGTGAAGCTTTCCACACCCTCTGCAGTGTTGGTTCAATCCCCACCTGCCACAGAGCAACCAAAATGGCGCAGCAGACCTCTCCTGTCTTGCCCTCTTCTTCCTTCAGCAGTGTTATTTCGGTCATTCTGCCTGTTCTGTTCCCCACTCTGTCTCTGGTGAATCCTCTCACCCTCCCGCACATCTGGCCTGTACCCAGGTTCTTGTATAAATAAAATAATTCTTAAAAACACACACACACACATAAAAGAGTGGGGGAAAAAAATAAAATACAATACTTAAAGAATTTCTCATTTTTTATGACTTTCTGCTTCACTTATCTTTTAAAAATAACTGATTAACTATCAATATATTGTTTATATTCATCATATATTTATTAATTGCTTTCAATTAAGAACGATCACTGTTTTTTACCTATAATCTTACTGAAAAGGACATACAGTCTTCAAAAGAAGAATGGACTGACAGTAATAAAAAGGTCAGATCTTCTGTTAAAATAACTTAAATGGGCAAAGGAATAAACTTTAAAATCATATTTCTCAGACTGTCCTACTAACCAACAGAGAAAACTGAGAAAAGGAAAGTCTGTCAGAGTTCCTAAGTCTGGCACCTCTGAATATACAGAAAGTTAACAAATATATTATATATAGTCTGAATTCCCCACTGAAAATACTCTGTAAGTTATCTATTAAACACCTTCCTTAGGTGTTAGGTATCTGCTTCATATTATACACAAACCTGGAATTAAACAATCTCTGGGATCTAACCTACAGAACACACAGTGTGTTTAGTGTTCTACTGTGGATCCAAATGTCCCAGATTGAAAAGCTACAGGACTGGGAAAATAATGCCCTCTTATTTCATGCCCAAAGTAGACGCCAAATGACTTTTACAAGAATCTGGATTAGGAAGTTAGCAGTGCATTTAATTCCTATAGTTTTTTTTTTTTTATAATTTTTTTTTTTTATAGAGGCAAGTTTTATTTGTTTGTTTTGTTTATACATGCACTGGGTAGAGTCAGAAGCGCGGGAGGGTGAGAGAATTCACCAGAGCCATAGCAGGGAGCAGAGCAGGCAGAAGGACCGAAGTACACTGCTGAGGGGAGCAGCAGGCGGCAGGAGAGGTCTGCGCGCCATATGGGACCCTCCTCCGCTGGCCGGGGAGCAGCCGGGGATCGAACCGGCACCGCAGAGGCCGCGGGCAGCTTCGCAACCCAGCGCTCAACCGCTGCGCCACCGGGGAGGCCCTCCTATAGTTTCTTTCCATGGAAAAGTAACAAATATCTTGGGGAATTTTAGTTTCCTGTAATAGGAAAAAATGTGTAATTTACCACAAGATTCTATCATTATGCCTCAAAGTTCATTCTGAATGAAATAAGCAGCTTTTTTTGTCTGAAAATATGAATGGTATGAAAACATAGTCTCTTTGCAGATCTGACTCTCAATCGTGTGTCAGAGATCGGCCCAGTCCCACTCGACACATGGTCTCTTCTGCATGGCCTAGCTCCAGGAGGGTCTCTTTCTTCTCTGTGATGTTCCACTATAAAGAGCCTATGCTGTACCAGCTGAGACTTCAGAATCACAGACTCAGAGCATAGAGGAGAATCTTAAAAGTTATTTAGCTCTATCACGCATCTCATCTTTAAATCATTTCTAACAGTACTGCTAATTGGCAGTTAATAAATATAAATGCGGCAAACAGAGAAGTTATGCATGCTGGGAACACTGCCACTAACACATAAATTGCTGTGGCAAGGACAATCCATGCTTTCTTCGGACTATGCAGTTAGCCAACAAACATTTACTAAACCTTCTGCGATGATGAGCTGGCAGAGCTATCAGGCTCTGGGAGTCGAGCAGGGAACAAAAGAGAAAGACCTGGCCTTCATGGGGCTTATGGTGTAGCGGATGTAGAAAAAAAATTAATATATGACCATATAATGAAAGCAATTAATATATGATGAATATAATGTTTAAAATACATAATATAAACATTACATGTTTATAATATACACTTACATGATAATAAATACTGAGAAAAATAAAGATGACTGAGGGAACAGAGGGAAAGGAAATGTTATTTAAAGACAGAATGGGTTTCTCTAAGCTCCTTATTGGAGATTATGCTTATGACCAATATTTTTGATGTTGATAATAATCATTATTTACTAAATGCAGGCATTATATACTTCAATTAATTATCTCAATCATTCCAATAGCCTATAACAGATAATTTTATCCCCACTTTACAGGTTAGGAAACAAATCCAGTGAGGTTAAGTAACTTGCCTAAGGCACCTATCTGCTGAGGACTGGAGCCAGGACTCAAAGCCTATGATCCCAGAGTGGACTGGGCTCTTCCCATCATTCTCCCCGGTCATCCCCTAGAAACATATTCCTTATACTGAACCCAGATCTTTAGCCTTCCCTAATGGCTTATATGACCCACCTCTCTAACTTGACAGTAAAACTCCTTTATATTTTTATATATTTTATTGGAATCTTGCACTCTAGGCAGCATTTACAGCATTTGGTAAGACTGGAGCTGCTGACAAGTAGATTGATCACTGTCAACAATGTGTTCCACATACGGACGATTAAAACTTTCATGGGTAATAAACACTCTAGCACAAAAAAGTGAGTTTGTTGAGGCAAGTCAAGTAAATTGTTCTTGGCAACTTGAGCAAAAAACAAAAACAAAAAACAAAAAACCACAAACCTACGTGGCCCACAGGAGAAATGGTATTAATTACCTGATTTCACACAACTTTTGCTAATACCCTGAACACTTGAAGAGTTACCGGGAAAGGAAAAAAACAGCCCGTCAAAAAAAAGATGCTTATGCAGTCCCTGCTGTCATCTCTGACAACAAAGCCAGCCTACGGGACAAAGAGGCTGGGTGCTCACCTGAAGCACACGGCTCATCCACTGGAAACTATCCTCCTCGGAGGCGTCGGGTCTTTGTTCCGCAACCACCACGATGCGCTCATCATAAAACACAGACACAGAAAACACAGCAATTCTAAGAGAGACAGATCAAACACATCAGGACTCCCTTCACAACCAGTCCTATTTGCTTTGCTCATTGGAATTATGAGGAGACATCCCCACCACACTACCCAGAAATGAGCAGTTTAAAAAAGAACATGTCACAATCATTACCATCAAATGAGGACTCAAAAAAAATGTATTAAGCACCACTGTCGTGAATGTTGGCACACAGTGATAAATAAGACAAAGTCCTTGACTTTGTGGATCTCGCATGTTAGGAAGACAGAACAGACAAATAAATATAAAGCAATGTCATACTGTAAAACTAAGGCAGGGTGAGGGGGTGGAGTGGTGTGCAGGGTCGTACTATGAGGGCAGGGTGGTTGGGGAGTGCCTCCCTGAGGAGAGGACCCTGGAGCAGAGACCTGAATGAAGTGAGGACGCGAGCCATGCGGAGTTCTGGAGGAAGAGGTTTCCGGGCAGAAGGAACAGAAAGCGAAAAGGTTCTGAGGTAGGAACGAGCTTGGCAGGTTTGAGGAACAGCAAGAAGGCCAGTGTGCCTGGAGCAGAGTGGTGAAGCAGAGAGTGGTGGGGAGAGTCAGATCCAGGCCAGGGTAGTCTCGGAGGACCTGGCAGGCCACAGGAGGGATGGACTTTGTTCTGCTTGAGGTCTCCACTCAAAATGTCTCCCTAAGAGTGAGGCATTCCCAGACCACCTTATTTAAGCTGGCAAATTCTCCCCTCCACCCCCAGCGCCATGTGTTTGTTCTGCAAAATGGTTACCATCCCATGTATTATCTATTTCTCTCTGTGATAACTGTTTCTCCCAATGAGAGTGTGAGCTTCACTGCGAAAGACTTGGTTGGTTTTGCTCACTGTCACACCCTGAGCTTCTAGAACAATGGCACACAGTTGGCTCCCAGTAAATTCTTATGGAATGAATACATCAGAGAATGGCAAATTCTTTCAACAGAGAATATGCCAGTCTGCCTGACCATCTCCCTTCCTTCCTCCTATACACACTTTCTGAGCTACTATGCACCAGGCACCATGCTGAGTGCTGGGGACAGAACTGTGACCAGAGACAGAGGGCCTAGAGCCCGGGGAGCTGCCATCTATCTCACAGGAAGCCACAGCATTTCAAAAACTATACGTTTCAGGTATTGGTTCTCTATTGGCTTAATTTTCCTTACTTCTTAAAAAACTAAAAGGGACACCAAGATTGCTTTAAGACACATAGCCATGATCATAAACTACTGAACAGGATATCCACTATTCAAATAAGAGCCAAGTATCTGGCTCTTTTCTCACATTAATAAGCAAAGAAAAAAGGATATGCAATTGATTTCATGGACATAAGTTAAAATTAGTGCTCAGATATAATGTTAATTTCTGTGTTAAAATTGCATAAAATTTTGTGTTAAAATAATTTAGAGATGAGTAAGAGAAATCATTCACAGATTGTAAAACTCCTACAGAGTAGCATCTTATCTCCATTAATCCAAATGGCACCCCTTTCCTATTGAAGGAGTATAGGAAGCTCGATGTTTTGGTATTCTCCTCAGTCTTCAGGATTTAAAACAAATAGTAATAAATTAAAAACTGAAACACAGGGGCCTCCCTGGTGGCGCAAGGGGTTAAGCACCACACTATGAAGCACTCTGCAGCACGAGTTCAATCCCTGGCCGGCCAGGGAGCAACCCACATGGCGCAGCAGACCTCTCCTGTCTCACCCGCTGCTCCCCTCAGCAGTGTATTTCAGTCAGTCTGCCTGTTCTGTTCCCTGCTCTGTCTCTGGTGAATCCTCTCACCCTCCCACCCACCATATCTTTGGCCTGTACCCCGGGTCTTGTATGCATAAATAAATACATCTTAAAAAAAACAAAACTGAAATACAGTATATGGTTATGTCTTATTCCTTTCAATAAAATCCAAGGAACCAGATATTTTAAATAAATATTCAAAGCCCCATTTCTGCTATGCTTAACCAAAAATAACTCAGTAACTTGGAAAGAGAATCTGTAGACACAACTCAAGTCACCTTGTGGAGATATATTTAGATTCTGTGGGAAGTGCTAACTTTTGGATTCTGTACTACTCACCTTCCTCTATAAACAGTCTTTATTGATTCAACTGCCAATCCAGTAGCAACAATGTCGTCAGCATTATGTCTTCGACCACTAACCATCAGTAACCCATCCATTTTTCCAACCACAAATACCAGGCTGCCCTGAAAGGTAAAAACAATTTACCTTGATTTCCGTGATTTAAATAGTAAAACAAACATTCTACTTCCTGCCTTGAAATAGATCTCACCAAAATATGTGAAACTTCTCAAGAATCAGCAGAATATTAGAATTAATGGTGTCCACAGTATATATAATGAGGAAATCCACTTATATTTACTCTTTGGGAGGAATTTTATAAGATAAAAACCAAGATCCCACACAGGCATAGTTTATTTTGCCAATCATGATTATGTATCAGTTCATCTGCACCTATTCATAGAAAGTACCTCTGTGATACAAACATATGAATATAAAATATGAATTCAATAATTACTGGAATTAGAGATTAGAATAGTTTGAACATGAGAATGACTGCTTGAGGTTTATAAGAGTAAAGCTGTTTCAATCTGGCAATATTAGAAACAAGCTAGTAAAGAAAGGTAACGCGTAAGAGTCTCTCCTCAAGAAGTTAAGAAAGCTGCAGGGCAACCTGCTGTCAACGCCCTAACAGCATCATTGTATGAATAATACTTGTCAATAATCCTCCCATACCAATTTGCAGCAAATCAACCTTTCCTTTCATTAGATCTTGGGCTACTGACATATATTAAAAGACCTAGCAGTCATTAAACTATCAATGTCATTTATTGATTTACTATTGAACATAATGCAGTTCCATACACTGGGCTATGAAAGACAGATTCTAGCCTTAAGAAGCTACTGGTCAATGGGCCTCCCCAGTGGCGCAGCGGTTGAGTGCTGGGTTGCGAAGCTGCCTGCAGCCTCTGCAGTGCCGGTTCAATCCCCGACCCAGGGCGAGGGTCCCACATGGCGCGCAGACCTCTCCTGCCGCCCGCTGCTCCCCTCAGCAGTGTACTTTGTCACTCTGCCTGTTCTGCTCTCCGCTCTGGCTCTGGTGAATTCTCTCACCCTTCCGCACCTCTGACTGTACCCAGTGCTTATATAAATAAATAAATAAATAAATAAATAATCTTTAAAAAAAAAAAAAAAAAAAAAAAAAAAAGAAGCTACTGGTCAATCTCAGATGACAGAAAAGGACCAGCTATTTCCAACAAAGTTGATAAGTGTGTGGAAATAAGAGAACAAGAGAGTCACCACTGGTCCTCCCAAGTGCATTTCTCCATTTCTTTCAGAGTAACAGAATTTCCAGCTGGGCATGGCTGACCAAAATGAAGGTTGCATTTCAGCCTTCTTGTAGTTGGATGTGGTTATATGACTAGTTTAGAACAATGAGATATAAATGGAAGTGTGGCACAGCAGTTTCAGGAAATCTTCCTTAAGAGAGAGTAGGACTGCATTCTTTCCTCTGCCCTGCTTCCTGGAATGCAGATGTGATAGCTGGAGCTCCATTTTGGACCTTAATAGTAGAGTGGTAAGCTAAAAGGAGCGAAGGATTTCTTGGTGCTGAGTGAAGACAGTAAATCTAGATTTGTTTCTAGGAGAGTGAGTCTCTCAGAGGCATGCTCTTGCCCCCTTCCCGCCATAAATGGCAGGGAAGAAATAAAGTAAAATTAGATCTTTTCTTATATAACTTAAGCTGTTAAGAGAAGAGAGAGCAGGAAGGTAATTAGAGATGGATGGAGGTATATGAGCTCAACTACAATAAAGACTGCTATTAGAAATAAAATCCAACCTTCCCATTACATCATGCAAAGCCCTTGGTGATCTGGCTCACCGCCGCCTGCTGGCTCATCAAGCTAACTGTGAGCTCTTTGAGAACAGGCTTTTTGTGTTCTGTGTTCCAGTAACTGTAACTCCAGTGCCTGTAAACACCAATTGTTTAAAAACAAATCATTTTCATTCAGTGATTTACTACATGGTGTAGTATGATAATTTGTATGAAAATGCTTTATACATTATTATAGTTTTCCTTTGCTATTGAAGATAACTTTTTTCAGCACTTTCTAACTTATTGGAATATATAATCAAATGAAAGAATGGTAGCAAGAATAAGTGAAAAGAGTTTTGGAAAGTCAACTGGACTTGCATAATAAAGGCAATAAACATTAAATCATGTTACTATGTTCTTACAGAAAACGCTCTAAGTTAAGTGGTCCTATTACACTCTTAGACTAATCAGAATTTGTTATGGTCTATGAATGACCATGTATTTGGATCAGATGCACCAAAATAAAAGCATCACTTACTGGCCCTACAAATCCCAGCAATCCTGACCGGATGAATGGCACATCCCCAACAGCAGAGCCTGCATAGTTCACTGGAATCACCTAAAAAGAAGAAAGAACGAAGTGTAAGTCTTAGCTTTTTCTTAAAAATGCATTCAATCTTTAGAGTTTTTTTTTTAAACTTTTTTTTTTTAAAAGATTTATTTATGCATAAAAGAACTGGGGTATAGGCCAGAGGTAGGGGGTAGTGAGAGGATTCACCAGAGAGAGTGGGGAACAGAACAGGCAGACTGACTGAAATACACTGCTGAGGAGAGCAGCGGGTGAGTCAGGAGAGGTCTGCTGTGCCATGTGGGTATGTCCCTGGTTGGGGATCGAACTTGTGCTGCAGTGGCTGCGGACAGCTTCATAGGTTGTGTCTTAACCCCTTGCGCCACCAGGGAGGCCCCAATCTTTAGAGTTATTAAAAAAAATTTTAACATTCATGCATGCTTGTTGAAAAAATATTATATAAATAGTAATAGTAATCCAGTAAGCCTGGAGATAACAAATAAGAGATAACAATAATTATAATTTGTTATTTATTTCTCTGGATATTTTTAGATATACTAACATATGAGAATTTTTTTAAGGTATCATATTATAAACACTGTTGCACAACTTGCTTTTTTACAAATACATACTTTTCATGTAATATATGTATCATGGATACCCCTGCAAGCTGGTAACAGTCAGAGTGGCTTCCTTTGTACATAGTTCTGTAATATACCATTGGGAGGGTGTGTTCAGTGGCAAGAGAACATAGTCCTTGGAGTCGGCCATAAGCTCAATTTCTGGCCCTACCAGTTACTAATAATGTGGACCTTGGGCAAGTTCCTGGACTTCTCCAAACCTGTTTCTATGGTCATAAAATGGAACTCCCAATGCCTTTATAATATAACCAAAATTTCTTTCTTGCTGTGGACCTAGCAGGTATCAAATCTGAAACTTCTGGTTAGGCAGCTGCCTTCCCAGGTAAAAAAAAAAATTATCAGATATTCAAACACTGCTTGTGGATTTTGTTTATAGTAAGGAATACACAATGAAAAAAATTTCAGGTATTAGAAACATGTAGTCCTAAGGACTTAAAAATCAGAGAAATAGGGTGAAATTTAAATTAGTAAAAAACACTCAGCAGAGAGCTACCTGTGAAAGTGAACCAAAAGACAGGCAGTAAACATACCTGAAGAGCTTATGAATGTCTACATCTCTCAAGTTGAAATGATGACAATTTTTTTTGTAAAATTATTGTTTTTAATTTATTTATGCATCCAAGAACTGGGGTACAGGCCAGAGGTGCAGGGAGTGAGAGGATTCACCAGAGACAGAATGGGGAGCAGAACAGACGGAATGACTGAAATACATGCTGAGGGGAGCAGCAGGTGAGATAGGAGAGGTCTGCTGCCCAATATGTGGGTCAGCATCCTGGCCAGGCATCGAACTTGTGCCACAGTGGCTGGTGATAGCTTGAGAGCGTAGAAACTTAACCCCCGTGTCACCAGGGAAGCCCCCAATGATCACAATTTTTGAAGGTAGGACAAGAAGGTAATGATGATGAATAACAAAAGCAGACATTTAATAATTTATATTATATCATGTTAAGCTAGGTATACACAGACGACAGTCAGCTCAGGAGTTCTTAACCTTTTTCAGCTACCACGCTATTCATACAGACAACGTGTCCTGCCATGCTGAGAGCCAGTAGTCTAGATTGGAGAAAAACATAGCTTGAAGAATTGAAAACTGACTGTACTCTTGTAAGCCTTGTCCAGTGTGAAGGGGATGTGGGCCAGAAACTGAAGTGTTCTGTTCCTTGCAGTCAGCCTGAGGCAGATTAACCCCAGCTACAAAATATAGACAACTAATTATGCTGCTCTGATTTCCAGACTCACCAGGCAAACTTTCATTACTATTTGGCTCTGTATGCAGAACATCCTGCAGGGAAACACCGTGCTAGTTTCACTAAAATATGAGCTATTCCAAGAGCCTTGCTAGTTTCTTTTCCTGATGGAGCCCAAACATCTAGAACAGTGCCAGATATATAAAAGGTGCCCAGAAAATATGTCTGAGAGTTTGAATAATGGGAACAATCTGCCCTGTGACAGGACAGTTCTTCATTTTTATTAGTAACCAGACATTCTGAATTTTATCTGTTTTTACAAGCTACATTAACTTGACTACTCTTTAAGGCATGGGTCCACTCTCATTGTACTTTCAAAATTAAATTTGGGGGCTTATGAAACTCAGACCAACAGTCACTGGAGTGAATTTTTGTGAGGCATCTTATGCTTTATTTAACAGATAAACAACAGCACTTCCTGTGACCCAATTAAGTGCTGTTTTAAGCACCTGACAATCACCATCATTTACTTCCCAGAACAATCCTATGAGGTAGATACTATGATCACTCGCACTTGGTAAGGAAACTGAGGTCCAGAAAGATTAAGATCAATTAGTAAAGGACATGCTCTTAGCTGTCACTTTAAGCTATTTTCCATGAGCCAGGTCATCTGCCCTCCCAAAACCCTCATAAAACATTTTCCTTGCAAAACTTTAGTATCATATACCTCAAATGTATTTTTTGTCACACCAGCAAGCCCAAAATACATCATGCCTCCTGTTCTGGAGCTGACACAGATCTCTCCAATTTCATCTGTTTTGCAGAGCTGGGGTGGGCCATCAGGTCTCACAATGCACATCATCCCTAGTGTACAGAAATTATAGTTAAGAGACATAGATTCTGGGGCCTCCCCTGGTGGTGCAGCGGTTGAGTGCTGGGCTGCGAGGCTGTCTGCAGCCTCTGCAGCGCTGGTTTGTTCCCTGGCCGCCGGCGAGGGTCCCACAAAAAAAAAAAAAAAAGGAAAAAAAAAATAAAGAGAGACACATAGATTCTGGAAATCCTTGGCAAAATAACCATTTCATCCTTGTTAACCCAAGAAGGTTTTTACATTTACTAAGAAGAACACAAACAGCTATGTTAAAAAAAAAAAAAAAGACAGACATGAAACGCCACAGAAATAGAACTGAAACTACATTTGAAATTTCCATCTTTTAGCCCTGATAATTTTTTTAAGGTTCAACAAATAAAACATGCAATGCAGAACAAAACTTTTAAAGACAGTGACATATTAGAATTGACTGCAAAATTCAAAGAAACAGGTAAAATTAATTTGCCAGATAAAATTCAAACATGGAGCAGTGGGTGCCAACTTTCAGCCAGTTGCAAGGGTTTGGCAATTACAGCGAAAAGCAGACAAATTTACTGTCATCCAGTACTTAGCTTTCCATGTACACAACTGTAATTAGCATTTATAATTAAATCACACTCTAGTGCTAGAAGGTAAGTATAATTAGAATCACTTAACTAATAGAGCTTTTGAGAAATTAAGTGACTAAGTACTAAATTTTGGATTTCTGGCTTTTTAAACTCATATTTTATCAGGCTGTACTCTCTCTAATGACAGAACTTTATGAAAAGCCAAACGATGCCCCGGAGAACTCACCACCAGGCATGACATGTCCCACATCCTGGACTGTCAGTGCTGAATTTTTATCTTCAGTATTGACCCGTATCACCCCATAGCTTAATCCATTCATTGAGAGAATGGCTCTCCCCGGCAAAGGAGCACCTGGCACTCCAGGCCTGAAAACAAAATAATCAAATTTGGTAAATTAAATGATAGTAAAAGTATGAATATGTAAGAAAAGTAAGTTCTCTGATTCTCTCTCTCTTCTTCTCCCCCCAACCCGGCCCCAATCTTCATTTTCTCTGCTAAGAACAAGCCAGATTAATCAAATTCACATGTAAAAATTCACATGACCTGTATGGTCAACTTTGATTCAGGTAGAAAAAAGTAAATTTTAATCAACTGTTCAGAATATATTGGTCTTTGGCATACTATAGATACACATTCCATACTTAAGCTACGATCAAGAATAGTCTATTTCTAGTCTAAGATGCCAACTAAGGCTTCAGAAGACCAAAACACCACAAAAATAACTAATTCACAAATATGGGATGGAAATAATTAAATTATCAGTTTACCACTTAGGACAAGAGTGGGAAAAATAAATGAGATGCTTCAAACTGCTTTTTAAAGTCAGTTTCACTTTTAGGCTTATGAAGAAATTAGCACAGTTCATCACTGCCTGGTAAATATTATACACTTGATCAGCGCTGTGACATACATCGAGCGCACTGACATTTGGGACAATACCTGCGGATCGCGACAGTCATGGCTTCAGCAGAAGTAGCACATGGACAGATGGCCTCGGGTTTCAGCCCGTGGCTTTGGAACAGACTCAAGAAGGCATCGCAGGAGGACACAGACCCTAAGGAGTTGGAACAGATCAACTTGAAAGCTGAAATTGTGATTTTCACTACTGCAAGAAACTGGCAAAGAGCAGAAACCTGACATATTTGCTTCTCATTAGAACTCTATGGTACATTAATTCCATCCAAATATTTTACTGTGCCTGCGAGATTGTTGATACATTTAAAGGACAAATGAATGCTCATCCAGTACATGAAAAGTCACAGACTTGATTAAACGTTATAATCTGGAATAAGTTTCATGCCTATCAAACTGCCCCATCAATAGTAGAGATGTGCTGTGGGCATGAGGCAGCAAGTTTAGAACTAAGAAACTCTTCCTGGAACTACTTCAGCCAGTGCAGTAGTTCTACCCCTTCTCTGTAATATTCTCTGATTTATTTCTAGTTAAGGTCAATTCCATGTCTGTGTTTTAAATCAGGATTAGCAATGTGAATATTGATAAATATCTATTTATGGCAAGGAGCCACTATCCAATGCTTACCTGATGCTATTGGGTAGAGGATCAGAATGTTTGTGCTCGTGGGGAAAAGCAAGAAACATACTAAGATCACTAAAAGGTTTCACAAATTCCTTTAATTTGCTGCTAGGGGGAATTTATGTAATGTTCAGACACTTCATTACTTAAGTCACCTTTTTAATCACTTCTTTTAGTTACATGTTAGAAAAAGAATGTAAATGAGCAAGAAAGAGTGGTTTTAAAAGCCACTGGTACTCAACTATATGCATCTCATTCATTATATCAGATGAAGAACGGATAAATGAAATGTGGTCTACCTATGCAATGGAATACTACATGGCAATGGAAAAGAACGAAGTATGATCACATGCTAAAACACACATGGATAAGACTTGAAAATATTATGCTAGTGAACAAAGCCTGTCATAAAGACTACAAAATACAGCATTATGAAATGTCTAGAACAGATAAATAGGTTATTCTATAGAGACATAAAAGTAGATTAGTTAGGGGGTAGCTGGAAAGAAATGGGGAGTGATTTTCAGTGGCTATTAGCAGGTTTCTTTTGAGGGTGATGATGTTCTAAACTTAAATCATAAAATACTGTAACAATTTACATCATATACTTTTTTTTTTTTTTTTTTAAAAGATTTATTTATTTATTTATACAAGCAGTGGGTACAGTCAGAAGCGTGGGAGGTTGAGAGAATTCACCAGAGCCAGAGCAGGGAGCAGAACAGGCAGAAGGACCGAAGTACACTGCTGAGGGGAGCAGCGGGCGCGGCAGGAGAGGTCTGCGTGCCATGTGGGACCCTTGCCGGTGGCCGGGGAGCAGCCGGGGATTGAACCTGCGCTGCAGAGGCTGCGGGCAGCTTTGCAGCCCAGTGCTCAACCTCTGAGCCACCCGGGAGGCCCTACATCATATACTTTTAACTGAATATTCTGAAACCATTGACGGGCACACTTTAAATGGGTGAGTTTTAAGATGTATGATTTACATTGCAATACAGACATATTTTCTAAATGCTTACAGAGAGAGGGCAAAAACCTCAGCCTATCAAAAGAAATAATCCTAGACACACACTCTAGAATACTCACAGGGATTAGCTCCATCAGTCACAATTAACATCCGAAGGGAACTCAAGCTCACATCTCTTTGGTCCCGATGTGCCATCATAGCCCAGTGCAAGTCCCGACACTTTACTAAAGCTACCTTAGCTATAAATTCAAAAGGGATAAAGTTAACACACACATGCATGTTAAATGTGGCAGATTAATATACTATAATAAGATTTTCAATTATTTTAGGGATCCTGATTTTCACTTAGAGAAAATAAAAAGCTATTTTTTAAAAGATTTATTTTTATTTTATTTATGCATAGAACTAAGCTGTAGGCCAGAGGTGCAGGGGGTGTGAGGATTTACCAGAGAGAGAGTGAGGAGCAGAACAGGCGGATCTACTGAAATACACTGAGGGGAGCAGCAGGTAAGACAGGAGAGGCTCCCTGGCCAGGGACTGAACGCCAGCAGTGGCTGGTGATAGCTTGATAGCGCTGAGACTTTAACCCCTGCACCACTAGGGAGGCCCAAAAAATAAAAAAGGTTTTAAAGGACCTGTGCTGAGGTAGCAGAGTCTCACTGATATACAAATGTTCTGCGCACTGTGACCTGTGGACAGGCCATACATCTCAGCCAAGGAAGCACCGAACACCAAAGCAATATAAGCAAATCATGGCTCTGATTTGGGCCAGTTCATTGCAATTCTTAAGGAAGGATGGTGGTGTGATGATATGATTTTATGAGTCACCAAAACGAAGAATTACGTCTCTAGAAGGACAAAGTGAAAAATCTCTAAAATCCTAGCTCAAAAACAGTCACATAACTAAAATTTAGATGCTGTGTACAGCTACCTTTGTGGGCGTGTACTCTCTGGACCCAGGAGAGAGGACAAGTCTTCATAACAGAGTAGGGTACGCTAACTGTGTGCATCTTATTCATTACATTCTGAAAAGCAAAGAAAGATAAAAAGTATTCAATATCTAATTCACACTGAGCATTTTAAAGTTCAACTAATATTTTGTTAATGGTTTTAATCATGCATAATATTCAAAATCATGCGCTTTGAAAATAACCTGAAATAGTAACTCCAAGGCTGAAGACCTTTCTGCTATCTTCCCTCAAATCTGGTTGCTTTCTCTTCTCAGAGATAATCACTGAATCTGTCCTCATAAAAACAGTGTATTGTCCATAAAGGTTATCACACTATACAGCTGCTTTTTTCTAATTATTTTAGCACTAATTCTATGCACATCAATATAAGAAATCTACATAATTCTTGAATTGTTGAACAGTATTCCATAGGATAATATGGAATATCATAATTTATACCACAATTTATATGTGTGAACCTATTTCTCACACTTTTGTTTTCCCAATTACAATGTCTCAAGGAACATTATTTGTACTTATTTCCCTATACACATATATAAGTGTTTTTCTAGGGTTGATACAGAAAAGTGGTACTGTTAGGTCATAGGATATAACTTTTTAAAAAATGTAACAGTGTCACACTGCCCACCAAACTACTAAGCGCTTTCATCATGCTCATGCTTGCCACCTCAAAGGGTTGGGTATTAAAAAGCAAGAAATAAAAATTTTCCTGTTGCTTAGAGAAGGTCCTGGCCATTCCTATTAGGCATTTGGGTGATAAAGCTGAGTGAGCTGAGGGGCCCTACACATTGGTCTCTCTCCTGCCATCCAAACAACATATACCTAGGTAACTCTGGTACCCAGAGACCAAGCCTGGCAGAGTAACTAGTCTTGCATTTAGGCTGGTCATTTTGCTCATTACCAAAGTGACCCAACCAAATAAATTAAGATCTTTTCTCTCCTTCCCCCAGGTTTCTAGCTACAATGACAAACTTTTATATGTCAGGGAAAGAATGATGTTTATAACTATTTCTTCACATTATGTTCCTAGCTTGCTTTTCAGATCATAGGGAGAAGACTGCCTCTAACTCCTCACAAGGAGTGTTAACCTATGAGTTTTAAAAAAGGGCTTTAGAAAAGAGAAGGCAAGTATGTACATTTGAGGAATAAGAATCTTAATTTGAGGTGTCACAAGTGAAAATGTCACAAGTGAAAATGGAGCCTCCTCATCTTTCCCCATGCCTCATTTTCTATCCTTTTCCAGACTACTGCAATGTGTAAAGAAGTTGAACAAGGTACTTACTTTTCAACTATAGGATCCTGGACCTCTACCTTCCCCTCCTAACCAGCATGTTATGTATGGTAGCTTTTCCTATGTGAAATGTCCCTTCTCTCTCTGTTTACTCCCCAAATTTCTTTATGGCTAAATCTTACCCATTATTCAAAGACCAACTCAAATGTCACTTCTTCCATAAAAACTGTCTTGATTCCAGAGCTGGCAGGCACTCACCTTTCTCTAAATCTCACAGAATGCTTGTTACTTATTCCTCTCTATGGAAAGCAACCTGATCTACCTTGTTACTCTAGTGTTTAGCTGCAGCAGCAATTTATTCAATACATTTTGCGAATGAGAAGGTTAAATGTTATTAATCACAGTCGTGAAGTTCGACTCATATTTATGTAAGCCTTTCATCAGAAAAAAGGTAAATATCAAACAATTTTTAGAAATCATAATAGTCACTTGCAGAATCTTTTATACTTTGAGACATCACAGCAGATGTTTTAAAAAATTTTAATCCTAAATTCTTCCACAATTAAGGAAAAACAGAATTATATTCTCATTTTTAAAAAATTACTATTTGTACTATAAGATCAAATTCCTCTGGAAAATATTACTGGTCTTTTGTGGGCTTAAACTTCAGACACTGAGAAATGTTCTGGTCACACAGCATGCATTACTGATTTGAATCACAAGCATAATTTTCACTAAAGGCCGTCATTCCAACTTACCGCAAACATGCCATGCCACAGCCCAGCATCTTTCTTAAAGTCTAAAACATTTACCACTGTTTCTCCTAAAACAGAAAAAAAAAAGGAAAAAAAATAAAAAGGAAATCCTCTTTAGTGTTAAGTAGCAAAGACACATAACTAATTTTGTACTTTTAAAGAAATCACTCTTGGGAGCTTTTGATAACTTGGAGGTCTCCTCAAATTGACAGGACTAATAATCATAGGTCATAGGCTAATGATGATATGGTCAGAAAAGAGACAGTGAGTTCAAAACTCCTTTGACTTAGTCACTGTCTTCTGAGATATTAAAATGTTGAAATACATATACATATGTAAGCTACACACACACATATCTTTCTAAGCACACTTATATAGCTTCGTCTCTAACAAAATGGGCCATATACTTGTATAACTAATTTGTTTCCACTTAATGATATGTTGAAACAATTTCCCCATGTTTAATATTCAAGAACATGAACTTTAATACCTTAAGGTACAACCACTGATGTATTTAATCAATGCCAATTTCTTGGCATTTTGATCGCTTGCATTATATACATTTTTTAACCACACAACAATGCTTTTCTATAATGCACTTAACTAGTTTCACTTTATGAAAGGAAAATAAAACACTAAAATAACATTGTTAAGAACATTGTAAGGTAAATAGTCAAAGTGTATCTCTATCTCTATCTCAATACATCTAAAGTTCAACAATACAGAATACATTTTTGTGTTTTAATTTCTTTTTTTGGTAGTCGAATTTCTTCCCTAACTCCAAATGTATAGCTGATGGTAGTTCTATATATAGGAGAAGGTAGAGATATTTGACATTCTGCAGCTAATAAACACATGGTTTAAATTAGTTTTCTATTTCTGTACTCTAGAAATCATGGTTTCTAGATTTCTACTTGGTTTGCCAGGAATTTTAGTTCCTTTAAATTACAGCATATTTTTGAAAGAGAAGAAAGCAAAAAGCACGCCAAGAATGTGTTATAAAATTTCACTCTTGATTTGTTCATTAACTGGAATCCATCAATGAGCACCCTGCTCACAGTCACAAACGCCTGTGCTCACAGGGAGGCAGTCATGGGATGGAGTCTGACCTTCGGAATAATTGCAGGCCTGGGACAGAGCTTGGCAGTGAGACAACATGGCAAGTCGGGACACTGTAACTCCCATGACACTCCCTTCTTTGCTTGTTTTATACTAGGAAAAAACACACACACAAAACAAAGATATAAGAAACACAGTAAAATGGGTTATTTCAAATAGCAAAACCAGAATCCAAAAATGAAACCAAAGAAGTCATATTAATGGGGGCTGAACTTCACATGTTTTATATGACTATTCCGGGCTTGAAATTTGGGTTCCAAACTCTCATCACACAAAGACAGGACTGGGGAAATGACAAAGTTCAAAAAAATATGTGTGAAAAAGCCTTAAAAGTGTAATTGGTCATCAGTGTAAAGTGACTAAACGAGGCTACAACAAGTAAGAGCTTGAACTGCATTAAAAGCAGCGCTGCACGAATACGCAGCAAGCGCGCCATGGCACACTTAAGGGCATGGAAGCTGTGGCCCGGGTCTGTCAGAAGCTCCCAGACTGGGAGGAGGAAACCTAGAAATGGCCTATCGATCAATCAACTGTAAGTCTGCTTTTACCTCAATGCTTCATTCAAGTTGCTTTTTACCAAGATCAGCAATTTTTTGGTTGTTTAAATCAAAAGGATATATTACATACTTCATGTTTTTTTAATTAAGTTTATTTATTTTCTTACATCTTTGTTCATTTTTGTACAGTATTTGATCTCTCCCCACCGGTGTAGTCCCTGTGATCCATTCAGGGACTCCTACCATGACAGTACCTGTGATCCATCACCACAGTCCTGAGTGTTCTTCCCTCCCCTCTTTTGACCCTTCTCCTACCCCTCCCCTGCTGTGCATATTTTATCTTATCAGATCTTTCTGCAACATTTGACTACTTCCTTTCTTGGTACTTTCTCTTTCCTCTCTCTCTTACTTTCTCTGCCCATTCCTTAAAAGCTGGCATTCCTTTAAAATTCTGTTCTCCTTCCTCCTCTTCACTTTTTTCCATCAGGATACCATGTCCTGATAACTCCCAACTCTCTGCGTTTAGACCAGACCTCTCTTCAGAGATCCAGGGAAACCCAATATACCCAGCACTTCACCAATCCTTTGCCCATAAAAACTTTTCTTGTTGTTTTCTATCTTAGTGAAGGAGGCTGCCATCTTTCCAGTTGCCCAAGTCAGATACTTGGGTCTCTCTTGCCTCCTCCCTCTCCAGAGTAAGTCACTAAGTCTTACCTATTTGACTTTCTCACTGTCTTCCAGGCTCCATCCAGTTGTCTCTATCCCCACCACCGTGAGCTGGGTTTCACCCAGTAAATGTAAAAACTGGTCTCTCCATTTTCCTTCTAAACCCAATGGAACTAGGTAATTTTTTTAATAAGCTGTTTATTCTTATCACACATCTACCAACAAGCCTTTAGTAGTTCCCTATTTTTCACAGGACACTTGAGCTTCACTAGTAATGTCCTATGGGTAATAGGAGGGTCATCCCAAGTGAGAACTGCCAGTTAATTCATTCAGAACATCAGGGTGTGTAGAGGTAGTAGCTCTAAGGGAGGCCAGAGAATAAAGGGGAAGCCACCTATTGAAGGGCCCTTCACCAATAAAGATGGAAAAGCACAGTCAGTGAGGCAGCAGACTTGACAGAGCAGTCCAGGAGGCCAGGGAGCAATTTTAGGGAAGATGGAGTACTGAACCATGTCATCACTGAGAGATGAGATGGATTCAGAGTTTTCCATCAAATTTGGCGTTTTAATTGTCTGCTTATTTGTCTGTCATTTAAACATACTCAGATCTCTCCCATTTTTAAAAAATAATCCTTGCATACACTATCACATCACCTTTCAAAGCTACTTACTGCCCACCCTCTCCCCTTTTAAAGCCAAAGTTATTAAAAAAACCGTCTAACCTTGTTGTTACCACAAGACTCATGGCTGGGTGAATTTTTCCCCCATTTTTTTGAAGTTATTTGGCTTGTTTATTCATTAATTTAGCAAACACTTGGTGAACATTTACTAATGTGTCTCAAGCAGGATGCAGAATGGTAGAGAGCATAGCTTCTGGAGTGAAAAACTCAAACATGTGCGTTTGAGTCCTAGCTCAATCATTTTTAGTCTAGGAACTTTGGTCAGTTACTCAAGTTCCTTGACATCTTACTCTCTTCATCTACTAAACAGGTTTATTAATAATCCCTGCCTCACAAGGTACTTGTGAGGACTGATTGAGAAAATGCATTGAAGGCAGTTGGCCTAGTGTCTGGTATGCAAAATGAATTAATCCCTCACTGGATCAAGTTCTTATACTGACCTTCAATGCCAAACCCTCTAGCCATTTGTTTATTCTTGCTCTTTTTCTTTCATCTATTGAATCTGTTCTTTTGAGGCACAACTAGTTTACCTCGTCATTGTTCCACAATCTGGCTTCCTCTTTTCCCCAAAAGAGCAGGAAAAATATCACTGCCAGTAAATCATTTATTAAACCTTGTACTTCCCTAAATCTTTTGTAACTATCTTATGTGGCAAGAAGCAAATTCTTTGCTGTCTTTCTCTTGACCGCGTATTTGTTAAAAATAATTAAAATAGAAAGTCCATGTCAAGGCATTTTACAAGCCAAAAGATGGAAATCTAACAAAGCAGGACAACCTTCTAATATTAAAACTCCAAAAAGTTAAGTTTTAAGTTTTGTAAGCTAGCAACTAATGCCTAAAGAAAAGCCAGAATGTGTATCTAGTCCCAGGACTCACCTCAATGTATGCAGGTTCTGTACCAGCAGGTGAGATGTGGGGTTGCCAGTCTTTAGGTGGTTTTGAAAGGTACTTGGAATCTGTAACAACCCACTTGAGCCGGGGCCAACCTAAATCAAACCCAAAATAAAAATTGAATTGCCTAAGGCATAGGGGAAGGAGTTTACATTGAACTGGTCATTATAAATATCAAAAGACTAAATCAAGGTCACATTAATTGGTAAAATACTTTACTTTTATTAGCTTTCAGTGATAAATCACCAGACAATTATACCTTCTTTTAAAAGCACAATGGTTCCACATGCTAACCCAGGTCTTGACATTACCTCAACAATTGGGAGGTCCATTTGGCAGTGGAAGTCCACTGAGGTTAGTGGTCTATCCTCTGTCTCTACATGTAGCATTTAGCTTTAGTGAACAGAGTGGTAGCTTTTTCCAATCATCAGCATAAAGGTTAAGGGTGTGGGCTGTGGAATCAGACAGATTTGGGTTCAAATCGCTGCTCTGCCATCTATTAGCTGTGACTTTGGGCAAGTTACTTAACCTCTCTGTGTCTCAGTTTCCTCACCTGTAAAATGGGGATAATAATGGTACCTACTTCATAAGTTTGTGAGAATCAAATAAGAAAATATACGCAAATTACTTAGTTATTAAATTAAAATGCTAAAGTACTCAGCTTTAAGTTTTAACAGATAATTCAGGTATAACTATGACTAACCTTTAAACTGTACTATTTCTCCATTCTGCGTTTTTGGCAGTCCCTTTAGGCAAACTTCACTGGTAAGAGCTAAAGCAATACCACAGCTTCCTAGCAAGAAGCCAATCTGCTGCCCTCCAGCATCCTGCGGAGAGAAGATAATGAGCACAGTAGGTGAGTGAACATGAGCACACCCATGTCCACAATCTAACACTTAGCAATGCTTTGGCACTTGCCTAATAACATTCGTGGAACCCCACTGATATCTGGCAATCAGCAAAATCCACTGAAAATATGTTTCCTCCAAATAATTTCTACAATACAATGATTTTCTGAGTAAAAATCAAATATTTTACTAACCTGACATTACTAATGATGAATTCTTTCAGACAAATAAGACTATTTTACTCAAAGGTTAACAAAACACTGATTAATTTCAGGCAAATGAATGAATGTGAACATGGCTAAGCTGCCTTGCCCTACCTCCACCCCAAATCCCAAAACAGAGCAATTTAAGTTAGAATAAAATAAATATTATAGACACAAAATGTCCAATGAAAGTGAATGGATCGTTATGCTTGTTTTATTACTCCATTTCAAAAGTGGTAGATTACTTAACAACATCAGCAGCAAAAACAACCAAAGATAAAGTCTAAAATATCACCATTAAAATATCATTTTAAAACTATCTTATGAAACCACACAGTCAACTTAAAAACAAAGAACAACCCTATGATTTCTGATCAATCTAAAAACACTATATCATCAACCAGAGTTTCAGTAATATTACCAATATAATTCCTTTCAAAAAAATTTTCATGTAAATCCAGTCTGTACCATATTTGTCTTTATCATCAACTGTGAATAATAAACCACATGAGAAAATTAAGAGTCAAACAGCTCGTGGAAAAATCATTCTGTTGAAGTTACAAGTGTACTTTGCTACAGATGCTTCATTTCAGTAGGGCTCAAGTGTGGTCAGACTAAAATCTTACACCCTGGAGGAGTAACAAGCCATCAGAGCATCATTGTTTGACTTAATGGCAATCCTAGTTCAATTTATAAGAGTTAAAGGAAATCCCTTTACAAAACAGTCTCACCTACTGCACATGGTAACTGTTGCAAAGTCAAGTATGCCCCGATGATTTTTAAGTAAAATCATATATAATAGTATATATAATAGTACAAGAATTCTTGGTTGAAAATGTTATTTGCATGAAACTCTTAATAAATAATATTTTTACAACTTTCATGTTTTTAGAAAGTGGAGCACTTAAGAAAATCGTCATACTGTTCCCAGTGTCCTGACGGAGCCAGTCAATGCAAGAACCTGATTGATGCCCAACATGTCACTCAGGCTACATTCCTCTTAAATTAAGCGATGTTACCTTTCTGGTAAGGGGTACTTCTATAGGCACTGGAATCACTTCTGCCAGGAGACATCCATAAAAAGCCACCATAAACATGACCGGATCATTATTGGGGTAAACCAGGGCAACCTAAAACATAATGACATTCACTAACAGAACTAAGAACAGATTAATGCTTTCAAAGTCACTCCCTAGGATAAACACTTATATATAACATTTATCATGAATACAATAAATCAAACTATTTAATAGCCTAAGGGAACTTAAGTTATCAAAAGGGATGCACAAATCTAAGACACATTTTGGGAACCATAATGCAATTCATCATCATGGTCATAAGAATTTTTCACTTAATAGTACTGGTGAGTTAGCCATAAACAATTCACCTGAAGCAGTAAGCTAATTACTTGTGAAACCCAAAACAATGTTTCAGAAGAGGGCTAGAGATAAAATAAATGTAATGGATCTCTATAGATAGACTAGCATATTAAATATGCTAGTCTATCTCTCAGGGAGGACCTTCAAGCATTGAGTGACTTGATTACCACCTCAGGGTGAGCCTAAGGTTTCTTACTATTTGACAAACTTGTTGCATTAATCCTTTCTCACTTCACCAACAAAGCAAGTATTCTGGAATGAAGGCATTTGGTAACAGCTATAAGCAATACTGGCAGAAACCATTATAGGTATAAAGTTAATTTATTTTTAAAAAAAAACAAAAAACAGTGAAAACCTCTATATAATATAGCCAAACCTGTGATCACTGACTTCCTAATTTACTCAAGGAATGCAAAACACAGAAATTACTATCATTATAGAGTTTGTTATTTGGCTTTGATATTCACATATTAACATTTGAAATTTAATTATGCCAGCAGATTTTCCCTTCTTTAGCTTCAAATTCTCTTAGCCCACTCCCAAGTTCAATGTTGAACCTCCTAGAGTTTTAAAACATACAAATTCCATAAGACACTAATCCAAACAACTCATCTTCCTCCCACATGTGTCCATGTTGCTAGGAAGATATAAAATCACCTTCTTAGCGTTCAGTGAGAATTAGGAAACACTCAGGAGTCATATTTATAAACAGAAGTCACCCTTTAGGTACCCTTTGTCACAATGCAAAAATTTTTTTAAAAAGACTATTTTAGAAGATCCAATCATTATGAGTCCATAATTACTGGAAGAACTATTACATAGTTACAGTGCTTCATTCTACAAATTCCAAATAAAAAATTAGTAATTAGGGCCTCCCCTGCAGGTGGTTGAGCGTCGCACTGTGAAGCTGTCCGCAGCCTCTGCAGCACCGGTTCATTCCCAGACAGCCAGCGAGGGTCCCACATGGCGTGGCAGACCTCTCCTGTCCCCTTAGCAGTGTACCTCTCCCCTTAGCAGTGTACTTGTCAGTCTGCCTGTTCTGTTCCCCACTCTGTCTCTGGTGAATCCTCTCACCCCCCCGCCCCACCTCTGACCTGTATCCCAGTTCTCGTATAAATAAATCTTTTTAAAAAAATTAATAATTGGTGGTAAGATGTAATCATATTTAGAATAATAAGAAAAAAAATCTTCAAAAATCTAAAAAACATTTCATGTCACCTCCAATTAAAGATTAAATGATGTCAATGTCTCTTCTTAGAATTAACTTTTTTTTAAACAGAAAATCATTTTAAAAGCTTTATGGCCACTTTTAAAGAAAAAAATTAAAGAGTAAACTTGAAAGCTAACTATAACAGTATTTTGACAACAAAATACTTAGGTTTCTCTCTTCTTTAAATTAACATGGCAAGAGCTTACTGATTAGCAGCCACAGGAAGAGACATATGAATTTCCTTCAATCCGAATGCAAGAATTATCACCTGGCATTAGGTTAATCTGGATTGGAATCAAACTATTTTCATTTTCTAAGAATTGTGCTGATGTATATATAAAAATCCAGAATGAGTATATTAGAAAACACAAAACATCATCTCCCAAAAACCAAAAAAAACAATTACCCTGTCTCCAGGTTTTAATACAGGCTCATTTTTGGTCCCCAGTTTATTAAGCAATGTGTAGGCCAACTTTAAACTTCTGCTCCACAACTTTCCTGAAAAAAGAAAAAAAAAGGTGTTATATAGAAAAAACATGGGCCTACTTTAGAGAGAGGGCATTCAGTTCAGCAGCACATTTAAGAAGACAATGTTCACTTCCAAATGATGGCAGGAGAAATACTATCTCTGACAAACAGAAAGCCGCTTCCCCTAGTAAAGTGCTATTACATTCACTTTAGTTTACAAAATTTAGTCTTGCCTCCAAACAAAAAGAAAATACAACTGGACACCCACTCTAGATAATATTTCAAATTCTTTTCTGAAGTAACCTGAATATCTTTAGAAATAATTTGATGTGAGCAGATCATATTTAAAGGGAGGGAAAAATTTTTTAACACAACACTAAAAACTATGTGTTTCCTTATAGAAAGCTATTTAGATACTTGAGGTTAACTACAAAGCAAAAGTATGACTCAAATGATTACATATTTCATACCACTGTATTTATAGACAATGAAATGGAAATCACATGAAACATGCAGCTACATTCACAGATTTTAAACAAACATGAAAAAAATTAGCCAGTTCACTGCTTTCTTTAAGGGATATATGGATGATATTAATATACAGCTACTGGAATGAATGCTAAGTTACTAGGAGGAGGCCTATTTACCCCTGTGCCTGCTCCCCCACAACCACCCTTAGAAACTCTTATTTTAGATTACAAAAAGGAAAGAAGAATCAGCTACTTTGAATAGACATTTTAGTTCTACAAATAACTCATCTAGAGAAGTATCTAAAGTTAAACTCACGTCAAACTGTACAATTCTTTAAATAAAAAATATCTATCCTCTAAAATTATTCTGCCTCTAGAGATAGATACAGAGCACTCCATATATGAAGGGGAAAAGCAACCTATTTGAATAAAATAGAATAAAATCTCATTCATAATTAGTTGAATACTTTGTTATTTAAAAAAAGAAAGTTATTTAAAAGGAAAAATAAATGGCTTTTATTTTTTTTTAAAGAAATGAGAGGCAAAACTAAATGGGAAAGCACTGACTCTTGGTTCCCTAGATAATTCTATGCCTATTATACACAAGAGGCAAGATGAAGTAAATTACAAAGACCTAAAAAGTAATCATTTTCTATTTTTAGATAAAACGATCTGATTTTTACCATACATTCTTAATCTTGCCCAAATATCTTCCTAAAATCTTTTTATGTTAAAGCATCAGTAGAGTTACGAAGCCCATCTCTTCACTTTACTCTTTTAAATGACACTTTAGCAAAAGAAAATATTTGGTGATGGTTGTACTTGGAATTTAGCATCTCAATGAAATAATTTAAAACACAAATTGAAACACAACGATGAGCAACTGCTAAATGTCAAGATGAAAACACTCCCCATGATAATCTGAAGATCTGTTGGAGGAAAGAAAGGAGCAGCAATCTTGCAAACTCACCATATGTCAGAGTGTAAACTGGCTTCCCCGTCACATCCAGTGCAGTTAGACAGGGACATTTGGCTTGAGTGGTGCCCCAGCGCTGCAGGGCAGACTCGAGAGCAGGAGGCCAGTTACAGATGACTCCCAGGGGCTCTCCCTTCACGGGGGTCATCTGCCGTCCCTCAGGCTTAGGCTGGTTGGGGTCTGGTTGAGGTACTGCACCAAAAAACCCAAAGAGGTTATGCAAATAAAATGTCAAATAAGTACATATATCCACTAACACAACTTAGCGCTTTAATCTCAAATATATTTCCCTTTCACCTTCATATTTATCTAGTTTAAACTCACTCTGAGGAAAGAAAGGACATCATTAGAAATAGTAACTGATAAAATTGGGTCTTTATTTTTCTCACAGAACTGTGAATCATTCTTAAAATACATTAAACAACAAGCAAATCCTGACAAAGCAAATCACTGACCATATAGAAAAGAACAAAGTACAAATTTCCTTTTTAAGCAATTTTACAATTTTTAGTAAACTTGTTTTTAAACCCTTAAAGTTTGTGTCCAATGTTAGAAAGCGAGGTCCTACTTAAAAGGTTATGACTAATGAAAAAGAAAAGGTGAGTCACAAAACCCAAGTTTACAATTATTTTTTACTAATGTGAACTTAGATAAAATGAGTTACCTGGGCCTTACTCTCCTTATCTGTAAAATGGAAATAGTAACATTTATAGCATAGTCATTATTAGACTCAAACAGTATCAGGTCCAATAGGGTTCCATGTCTTCCTACCTTTGCACATATCTCTCATTCTTTTGCCTCCTGGTGAGCTCATACTCATCCTTCTCAAGATGCAGTTTAAACAGCACCATCCCTGGACCATCCCCAGTCCTCTGAATGAGCACTCCCACACTAGGTGCTAGTCTGACCTTTTCAGAGCATTGAGGATCCTCAAGGGCTTCTACTATACAAAAGTTTTTCTCCCCCTAAGACTGACAGCTTCTTGAGAGAAGCCATGGTAATTCTTCTTTATTGCCTACTCAATCAATGTTAATTAAATTGAACTAAACCTGGAGGGAAAAAAACACTGCATTATTAACATGGTCATTCCAGGAAATTGAAAGTGAATGATATTTCTGTTCTTTCAGATAGATAAAACTAAACTCCACTTAATTGTTTTTATAATAAAGGTACTATTTGAATAGTAAAAAAAAAAAAATTTGTTAATTTTACACATGGGACAAAAAGTTAAATATTTACTAAGTGTCAGTTATGTACACAGGATGTGGAAAACACTGAGGAAATACCATACATATCATTCTTTGAACAAACATATTGTTTCTAACAAGTGCTAAGTACAAGAAGTAGTTTCCAGAGGGCAGCATGTCTCTCATACGCACACAGTCTCTCTCTCCGAATAAACACGAGCCACACATGACAGATACATATGAGAGACAGAAGAGGGCCAATCACCAGCTAAGGGATGGTCACCCAATGAATCTTTTTTAAGATTTATATGTATTTATTTATGCATATAAGCACTGGGATGTAGGCCAGAGGTGCAGGTGGTGAGAGGATTCACCAGAGAGAGTGGGGAGCAAAACAGGCAGATCTACTGAAACACACTGCTGAGGGGAGCAGTAGGCAAGACAGGAGAGGTCTGCTGCGCCATGTGTGTCAGCTCCCTGACTGGGGATCGAACTCATGCATCAGTGGCTGGCGCTAGTTTGATAGCACTGAGACTTTAACCCTGAGCTACCTGTGAGGCCACCAATGAGTCTTAAAGGAAAGGTTAGAATTGACCAGGCTATGGGAAATGAAAGGAGCTTAGAATGGACAGAATGATCAATCAGCATCAGATAAACAAATATAATAGAAAATAAATACCTTCAACTTAACAACACATTTGGGAATCTTACTTAAAATGTGTTGATTCATTTTTCTACTGACATAAACTGATACAAAAAATAAATTTGCCCTGGGTAAATAATGTTTCAGCTGCCTTTCTACTTTGTATATTCCCAAACCCTGAGCCATCAGTTAAGCTGTTAAAAAAAAAAAAAAAAAAGATTTGATTCTACATAAAAAGCTTTGCTTTTATGCACAGACTATATAAGCATAGTTTACCGGTCACATGTTTGCACATATTGTCATCCACTAGGCCTCAATGCAGACCCTGAGGCACATCCTCAAGACTTTCAAGACTCTATAGGTATTTTACTTTTCCAAAGATAATTGTATGCAACTGCTTCGTATTTATAATCTGGAAAACTGATAGTTTTATTCTGCCAATGAAGACTATGCAGGTATGATTCCTATTAAACCTTGAACTTCATTTGCCTGGTCAAAAACAATGCTAGGAAGACAGGAGAGGCCATTACTGACACATAAGCACCGTGAACATCAATACATCAAGAAACATATCCATAGTTCCTTGAATTTAGTGACACCTAAAGAAGCAGAAATGCATCTTAACTTCTTATGTGAGATCACATTGCTTCCTGCTGTATAAAATAGGCTAAGACCACCTCTAGGCTACTAATGTTCCTAGTTGCATTAACTGGTATGTGATTAAAGCCTACTTAAGTCTCAAGGAGTTAAAAAGGACTACGAAGCTACCACGGCCAAGTTCTTTGGACAAAAGTTTTCATTAGGTGGACCTATTTATCACCTAGCTTCAATAATTACCAAATGGCAGCCCTCATTTGATCTATAAGCTCTCCTCCCAATCCTTCCTATTAAACTGTGACATCATATAATTTCATCCATAATTGTTTTAATTATTGAATGAATAAACCACTGACAATCACCACTCCCCTATGAAGCTTTCCTCAACCACACAGAGGAAAATGATTTCTTGTTTTCTCCCAACTGCCTATATAGTACATACTTATTGGCTTAAGTTTCATATGGACATATATCAGCGCTAGTCTAAGTTGTAAACAACACAAAGGAAGAGACTGTAAGTTCATAAATCTTTGAACCTTTTTCACCACCTATTAGGTTGTGTTGTAGAAAGCTGACACACACGTGCTGAGTGGCTGATTTAATAAAAGGACTGGATAATACCCAAAATACAAAGCAAACCTTTGAGATCAAATTTGATATCCATATCCTAGGATAATGCCAATTATAAGTAATTTTTAAAATTATTTAAGAAGTTCCTAATTTCAAACGCGCATTTCCATGGATAGTTCTATGTTCCATAGTTATTTTTTTGCCTACTTCTTTCCTCCCTCCCCCTTATTTTTCATCTGAGATCTAAAATATAAATGATTCTTAGGTGAAGAAGAACAGAGAACTATTATCTTTGGGGAAAAAAATGATGTCTTTTCCATTCTTATACCCTACATATAATACTTGTTTAAGAAATATTAAGGAATAGGGGCCTCCCCGGTGGCGCAGCGGTTGAGCGCTGGGTTGCGATGCTGCCCGCAGCCTCTGCAGCGCCGGTTCGATCCCCGGCTGCTCCCCGGCCACCGGAGGAGGGTCCCAGACCTGGCGCGCAGACCTCTCCTGCTGCCCGCTGCTCCCCTCAGCAGTGTACTTCGGTCCTTCTGCCTGCTCTGCTCCCCGCTCTGGTGAATTCTCTCACCCTCCCGCGCTTCTGACTGTACCCAGTGCTTGTATGAATAAATAAACAAATCTTAAAAAAAAAAAAAAAAAAGAAATATTAAGGAATATATATTTTTTGTATTATTACTACTACCTTCCACAATTTCTTCAGAGTCATCCACAAAAAATTCTTTTAAGGGAGGTCTTTTAGGTCGTTTCAGAGTGTTGAGAAGCTGCTGGATTTTTGTGGATACCCTGCTATTGACAGGAACACCTACAGGGGAGAAAATGCTAAATTAAAATTCATTGATTTTTAAGGATATTTCAGTTCCTCAGTTCTCTTAGGAGCTTTTACTTCTAATGAATTCTGATCTCTGCCTACAATCTCATTATATTTCAATAGGACCAAATAGGAACAAATATGCACATGACATGTTTTATGAGACTGGAGAACAAATACAGAGCTATTTTTAACATTGCTTAAAGGTTTCATCTAATCTTTATCTATTCTTTTCTTTCTCCATATTTAGCTTTTTGCTCAAAGTATTTTGGAAAGTATAGGCTAATCCTGAACAAGTGTCAGTGCTGCCCCTATGCAGACTACTGAATAGAGGGTTCTCAAGATGACTGGGTTAGTGGGGCAAATGCCATGTAGTTCTGCAACTCCTGGACTTGTCAGGTGCTACACTTATAGTCTGATTTTTTCCAGTTTGACTTAAGCCCCTACTTAGTTACTAAAAAGAACTCCCTACCATCAGCTGTATCCATAAGACTGGACCTGTTGGATCCTTTGTGCATGCCTTTAACTATCCCCGAGGGGGGCAGGTCAATATTTGCTGGGCGTATTGAGGAAGATGATGAGGAGGAAGAGGTAGTTGTTGTGACATCAGGGGGAGCAGAGAAATTCTCTAAGAGAGAAGAAAACAAAATTCAGAATTATATTACTTCAGCAGTAAAAATAATAATTTTTAATAAGGAAGACAACTATATAAATAGGGCACTAATTCATGTAAAACAGTATTTCAAAACAAATTCTTCTAGCAAGACATAACAGGAGAGCAAGAGGTTAGCTCAGGCTTATTAGCTTTCCAAAATTATTATTCTCAAGAAATCCAGTAGCCTTAGTAAATCACATACGAAATGTTTCTTAAAAACACTCTCTTCATTCAGACAAAGGGACTGATAGCATGCTGAAGGTTAGAATTAGACATTTAGTAGTAAACTTGTTAATGTCGCATATACACAGGTTGATTCTTCATGATGCATACCTGAAACTTATATAATGTTAAAACATTCCTTCAATTAAAAAAAAAAAAACCACACATACATTCTTTTTTACACAGAAACTCTGGGAGAAATCCATGCTATAAAAATAATCATAATAAAAAATTGCCAAAGTGACTTCAAAAGGACACCAAAGTGAGAATGACCATAATGGCTACCAATGTTCTACTCGCTTGAGTGTTTCCACATGTCTGGTGGTTTATCTATGTTTTCTCTTCCATCAAAGACAAGTAATGTCTTAAGAGTGTTTTCATTCAGGTTTCCAGATGAAGAAAACCATATAAAGTCCGCTAATAGTTTTTACAAAATAACACACAGGTAACTTGGATCGACTTGACAGACAAGGCACTTCCCTTGCTGTAAGTGTGATTATCAAGTGTTATTGTGCTCTGCTACATGTAAGGATTCTTCATATGAAGAAACCAAATGAAACCACTGGAAGAGGGCCAGTCAACAGGAATGTATTAGAATGAAAGTTGAAGAAAACACCTGAAGAAGAAAAAGAAAATTAGAGGAAGTAAATTATGACTCATAAGAATAACAAAAAGCCACTCAAAAATTCAAAAAAGGAAAAAAACAATTTCTAAAATCAACTTGGGAGTAAAGTTTCCATCTATGTCCAAAAAAGTCTGTAGATTTTGGGCCTCCCTGGGGGCGCAGCGGTTGAGCGCTGGGTTGCGAAGCTGCCCGCAGCCTCTGCAGTGCCAGTTTGATCCCCGGCTGCTCCCGGCCACCAGAGGAGGGTCCCACATGGCGCGCAGACCTCTCCTGCCGCCTGCTGCTCCCCTCAACAGTGTACTTCGGTCTTTCTTTCTGCTTGCTCTGCTCCCCGCTCTGGCTCTGGTGAATTCGCTCACCCTCCCGCGCTTCTGACTGTACCCAGTGCTTGCATAAACAAGCAAACAAATAAATAAATAAATCTTTTAAAAAAAAAAGTCTGTAGATTTTAAAGTTTTAAATATTCTTTCTATAGGATAATGGTAACAAGCATTAAAAAATGTTCATTTGACCCAATAATTTCATTTATAGGAATACATCCCAAGGGAATAATCAGATAAATACATAGTTGTATATTCATTCCAGCAGTTTTTATAATGGCAAAAACTGGATACTACTTAAAAGTACAAAATGGGGAAGTGGCTAAATACATCCTGGCACTGTCAAAGAATGGCACATTTAGAAACCATAAAAACAATAGTATAATTCTGTATTAATGAAATGAAAGATGCTTGTGATATGCTGCTAAGAAAAGCAGGTTATAAATACTGTTAAGTACAATTTTGTTTTTGTAAAAATAAAACAAAAAATCTTACATATTCATCTGCAAATAAAGTATAGAAGGATGTAAATTGAAGTGAAGATGTTAAAAGTGTTATCTTGGGAAGGTAGATTATAGATTACTTTTCCTGTTATCTGTATTTTCAAATTTTCTGTTAGGAACATGATTACTTCTGTTAGTGGAAGCATCTAAAAGGTACTATGCATAAAGGCAGGTACAGTTAATTGGCTATCAGGACAATATTTTCAACAAGTGAAATTTTTTTAGACAAATGTGGAAATAAAACCTGACTCAACCAGGACCCTGTTGCCTACCCTCCCCAAAAGAAAAGGTGGTGAGCACGCTGGTGTGCAGCTGCTTTAGGAAGTTCCGTGAGTTACAGGCAGAGCTAAGAATACAGGACCTGCCATCAGCTGTTGGCACTTGGCTTTTTACTGTGGGCAATCATATCCTCAAGGTAGCTATTTCCTTTAAAAATTACATGCTTGAATTTAAAATTTTCCAAGTTTTCAGAAATCCATTATTAGAATAAAGATAGACACAAAGTGATGGAGAAAGATCACTGCTATGAAAATTAAGACACCAAAATGCAACTGATTGTTAAGAAAAAAGGGAAAAGTATCACAGACACATGATGTTCATATACATCACTCAGTGCAATGTGGACAAAACCAATTAAGCAAAAACAGTTCTAAGCTCTATCTTTATCTACACATGTCACAAACTCTTAAAAAACACACACACAAAAACATAAAGCAGAGCCAAGCAAAAGCTACACTCCATAAAGGAGCACTGGCAGCAGGTAGCAGCAGCTCACAGAGTACCAACATCGTCAGTCTGCACACTCCAGCTGTAGCAATAACACAGCAGCAAGGACAATAAATCCAGTCTTTATAATAAAGACAAAGGGCTTTGTCTTAGTGCAGAATTTTTTTGGGTAAATGTTTTGTTTTGAGAAAATGTAGACAACAATCCTGCAAATGTCTAAGATGTTACAGGTTTTATCACTTTGAGTACAGGGAATATTCTTCAACAGGGATAACCCCGTGCTAAGACTGGTGTTATATCTTGCAGCTTGAGTATTGCTTATGGAAATAGCTATGGCTTCAGGTGGGCAATCCTATGTACCAACAAAGCAGATAATACCTATCACTCCAAATGTATTGCTGGTGTTTCCTTCTTTGCCTCACTAAGTTTTTTTCTGACTCTAATTTTTAGGGCACTCTGAAAAACCTACTACAAATCATAAAATATTTCCTGGATATTGGGAGCCAAATGGAAAACAATTTGGACTTCTTGGATATATCCAGTGCCTACCTATTCGAGTATTGGCAAAAACATCAGCTAGAGACCCACTGGTTCCTTTGACCTCTCCATGGGACAGCGTAGAAGATGCAGATGAAGAAGTGGACGATCCCTGAATTGAACGGTTGATCCAGGACTCAGCATTCTGTAAGCTCTGTTGCAAGGCAGCAGAGAGCGCAGCTTGGCGTCTCAGAGAACCCTCATCCTCAGAGGCCGAAGACGTGTCTGTGTGGAATTAGAAAAAAAGAAGTTCTCGATCCTGCCTAGAATACAGACCTTTCAGTTCTTGCTCATTGACCACACATTCAATTTTGACACCAGCAAAACATTCCCATTAAGGTAGTTTAACATGTCTTTCTCAAGAATCCTGAGTAAAAGTCCACAGAACAAAATCGGCAAAAGTAAGACAGCCCAAATCTATAGGCAATTTAAAGTTTGTTTTTTAAAAACCCTTTAAGTATTTAAATTTCATTGCTTTTTCTGTTCTGAGCTTAATTAGTAGCTAAATTCTCCTGACTTATATCTACTTATGTTCCAAACAGTACTGAAGTGCTTATGTATCTCTCTCAGTCTCTGAGAGTACCTTGTGATAGGATGCTACCCTGATTTTGACAAGTACTTATTAATTAGCGTCTTCTTACAAGGAAATGATCGTGATAGGGAAATAGAAAAACTTATTTTTTTATTAGCAAAAACTTAAGCGTCGACCAGTAAGGTTGGTACACTGATGCGGAACAAGAAACTGTCTTAGCCTAGAAGCAGTCATGGCTTTAGTGTAGTGAAAAGGTTGCCTGGCCAAAGGCCACACACAGGTAAGCTTTCGAAACATGGCAGGAGATAGAACAGATCTGTGTTTCTCTTCTTAACTCTCAGTCAGAGAAGACTTGTGATAAATTCATTGATGTCTGTATTTAGCCTGGCTCTGACTTCAGGAAAATAAGGCCTAAATTAGAAAAGCATGTTGAAAAAGAATTTAAAGAAAAGTTCAACCAAATATAGAATAGTTGAGGGAAGTAGAAGTTAGGAATTAATTCCAGGGCTCTAAGCTTATGAAGCACACAAGTTCAAGGGTATCTGGTCTAATGTGGGGCCTTCTTGTAATTTGTGACCTGTGTACTGATTTTCATTCAATTTAAAAAAAAAAAAATAAATACTCTGTGGTTAGTCCTGCTAAACACTTTTCTCTAACCCATGTTTAACTGTAGTTTATGTTCTACTCTGGTTCAAAGAGTCAGAGATAACTAACAAGGCGGCTATATACTACTAGCACCCAAAAACAGAAATTTGAACATAAATGAGTAATTTAATCTAGAAGTCAAAATTTATAGATTCAGCAAAGGAAAGCTAAAATAACGATTCTATCCTTGACTCTTGCTCAGGATCACCTCCAACTTATTATCTCAAGTTAAAGGAGAGCGGAGGTTCAAAACTTATTGCTTTTGTTTTCTGCAAGTTACAATAATACTATAATATAAGCCCAGAACTATGTCATATTCCAAAGAGTCTGAGATGCATGAATTCTTAGGAGACAAGTTCCCTAAAAAGGCTTAGTCTACTGCCAGAGACAAAAAAGTGCAAGAAATGCTAAGAAATGGGGTAAGGAAAGGGCTTCACAGGAAAGACACCAATCTTAGGGATTTTGAGTACTTCTATGTAAATGGGTAAAGACATCTGAAGAGGTAAGGGGTAAAAATGAGGCAGGAGAGGTAGTGGCCAGACCCTAATGGAATTAGCAAAGAAATTCTTTAAAGGGGGAAAGAGATCTGAAATGAAAGAAAAAAGAAAAAAGAAAATTGATTAAAGAGAAGGGTAAAGTATAACCTTTTATTTAAGCAAAGTGTTTTGCAAAATTTCAGGTATTAGTCTAACATTTCCTCTGTACTTTTGGAGGAAGAAATTTCTGCCTATATGCTATTTGCATATATGCTAAAGAAAAAGGGGGTGGGTGGAGGCTTGTCATGGAACAGGTGAATCTGACCCTAAGCATTTTTACAACAGTACTTCTTGGGATCCCACAAACTCCACTGGATTTGCAGGCTGTCTTTATTGCATCGTTTATTTTAATTTGTCTAAGTCTAAAATCAGAATAACCCAATTTTTAAAAGATAGTAAAACCAGTATTTTCATGATTAGGTTTATGGAAAATTGGCTTCATTATGTTTCTATATTGGATCAATTATGTAATTAGGTGTATTGTTTCAATTCAATTACCTCATTTGCTTGCCAGTTCTCCTCAGAGGATTTGGTGAGTACAACTGTGGGGGCAGATTAGTATAGCAGAAATAATATGGCTTTCATGTCCATTTTCCATTTGAATTCTGGGATCCATCACTTACTAGTTAAGTGAATTGGGGACAAAATTATCCCTCCAAGAAGGTGGTTTATTGCTCATCTATCAACAAATGCTACTGGGAACTACACTGCTGGTAGGAATAAAACGGTGAGCAGATGACAGAGTTCCTACTCTAAGAGGACTGAGACTTTAGATTTCAAAGCAGGGACCTTGAGGAAGTGAGGCCTAAACCAAAGCCAGAATGTTAAGCAGGACTCAGTTATGTGGGCTACAGAGGTAGGGGGCAACAAGAGTCAGGGAGCAAGAACATCATGTGAGAAAGCTGGGAGGGGACAGAAAACAAGGCACATTTGAAGATCTGAGAGAAAGGAGACTTAGCTGAAGCACAGGATAGTGATGAAAGATGAGGCTGGACTGCTCGACAACATCGGGCTGCTAAGGGCTAAGTAACACATGCTAAGGAAACTCCGCGTTATTTTAAGTGCAGCAGGAGCCCACAAAATGAGACAAAGTACTGAAAGCACCACCAGTAGTATCAGAACACAGCAGCTGGCCAACAAACATTAGTTTCCCTTCTCCCCGAAAAAAAACTATCCTAAGTTAGCTCACAGACACAAAACGGCTGAGCAAAACTTAAAGTCGTTCATGTGTTTATTTTTTTTTCTAAAGATTTATTTTTATACAAGAATTAGGTACAGCCCAGAGATGCAGGGGGTGAGAGGACCCACCAGAGACAGAGCGGGGAACAGAACAGGCAGATGGACTGAAGTACACTGCTGAGGAGAGCAGCGGGCGAGAGAGGAGAGGTCTGTCCTGCCATGTGGGTTTCTCCCTGGCCAGTCGGGAATCGAACTCGTGTTGCAGTGGCTGCGGATTTCTTCATAGGTTGCATCTTAACCCCTGTGCTACCAGGGAGGTCCTGTTCATGTGTTTAGATCATGTGAAATGTAAGCCACTGGGCTGGGACAGTCCTTTTTAAAAATATAAATGAGGGGCTCCCTGGTGGCACAGTGGTTGAACGCTGGGCTGTGAAGCTGCCTGCAGCCTCTGCAGCGCTGGTTCGATCCCCAGCCACCGGCGAGGGTCCCACATGGCGTGAAGACCTCTCCTGCTGCGTCCGCTGCTCCCCTCAGCAGTATACTTTGTCAGTCTGCCTGTTCTGTTCCCCGCTCTGGCTCTGGTGAATTCTCACCCTCCCACACTTATGACTATACCCAGTGCTTGCATAAATAAATAAATAAATAAATAAATAAATAAATAAATAAATAAATAAATCTTTTAAAAAAATAAAAATAAAAATGAGCTACCTTAAATATACATGTTTATCTGGCAGCTTTAAAAAATTTTTTAGGGTAAGTGTTATGCAGGAAATTGCTATGATTAGCCATATGGGTAAGATTAAATTAATATTCATAGAAATAAGGCCACATTTCCCCACTGACACTGCTTTGGTTAAACATGAAACTCAAAGCTTACCTATCGTAACTAAAGTCCCTTGCCTAAGCCTTGACATAAGTACCACAAGTCTACAGGTGAGATTATAAAAGGATTAAAAAACTTGGGGAAATGATATATTTTGATATCCTCATTACCTGAACTGTGCTAAAGGTGTGTGAATTTGCTGTATTATAACTTAGACAAGTATATAGTTTAAATGTGCTGTTTATTTTGTGTCACTTATAATTTAATTAAGCTATAAAAAAGACAAACTTAAAAAGACTTGTGAGGGGAGAAATGATGCCTTGGTAAAAGGACAGTATTATCTGAGTCACTTAATATACCAAGGAGAAGCTGACAAGTTTCTGGAAAGACAGAGTCTGCCTCTGGGTTCACACAATTCCACCCCATCACTGACTTTCAATGATAATTCTCTCGCTCTCTCTCCATCTTATCTGTATTTTAAAAACTGGTTTATATTTTATTTAGTATTTTCTAAAGGGAAGTTTTCCTTCTCTTGTTTCTAGGAGGGAATTTTCAAGGTATCTAATTGACTACATATTCAAGAAACAGAAGTCTGGCAAGTTATTAATCTGATTTCTCATTTGTAAAATGGAATAGAGTTTGTTAAGAGAACTAAAAATGAAAAATTATAGGTGTTTAGTGCTTTCATTGCTACACAGAGGATATTTAATAAATGATAGCTATGAAATTACTTTTACTAGCAAACCTTACGTTTTACAATCAACTACTGAAATTAATTCAATCTGATAAAGTGGGTTTTAATTGTACTTTGGCTTAAAGGATATTGTTTACTAGTCTCTCAAATAATTGTGGATCATTGCTCATAACCCATACCAGAAATGAAAGCCTGCTATTAAAATGATCTGAATATTAAAACAGAGCATATTTATCAAGGCCTAATTGTCAAAATTAGAATATTTGGGGAGACTATGCCCCCAATTTAGACTGGTAATTTAGACTGACAATCGCTCCCAAATTCAAGTTAACTGGCTGATAAATGTTTGGGCTATTCTCTCTCGGATGGGATAACTAATTTGTTTGGAATACTACTCATTCCAGCACCATACATACATGATTATCTATTAAGAAAGGAATTTCCAGAGAGAAGACTTGGAGGAGGCACATGGAGCAAAGACATGTAAAGAATAAGCTACTTGCTTCTCAGCCTTGGACTTGTACCAGGGACTTGGGGAACATGGAAGGTTGTTGAGACACTTGGAGGAGACGTGGGTGAGAGAACCAAAAGGAGGCTGACAATGGCGTCCTTTATCTTGACTTGTATTTTGATTGTGCTCTTTTTTCCTTACAGACTTTTCTGGTCCTTTTTGCCCCTTTCTTATAGTTCCCTGTCAGAAGATGCCTCAGACTTGTGGCAAGCCTTTGGGGCTCAGTGGCCTCACTTTGGGCCAGGTAACTCTGGGTGTTTCATTGGGAAGCTATTATCCTTTCTCCCCTCTCTCTTTCTATGCTGTGCACACTAATTCTATCAAAGTTCTTTTCTTTTGGGAAAAAAAGAATTTACTTTAGTAAAGTAAAATACAAAATCAAGATTAGAGTCCGACACATAATTGCACTTGATCTGAGGCAAATAACTTAGTTACTATGACCATGTTTGTTTCCACTCTCTAAAGGAATCTGCTCTTCCTACTTCACAGAATGCTTATGAGGAACAAATGATGCAGGGTAACCAGTAGTATGTGAAAGCCATTTTCACAGAGTAATGTACTGTAATTCCTAAAGCACTGTTACAGTATGTTAAGGGTATAACAATACCCCAGTCTGTCCTTGGGCATCATTTTCATGTATAGAAATACAGAGAGGTAAATTTCTCCTTGATTGGTCCCACAAATTACTAATATAGTCACTGTGTGAAACAGGCAACTAAACTTGAACTTTATTCTATCCAAGCCAGTCAAAACAGCTTACTGCGCTTCGGGGTCATTATGCAGTCTGTTTGATTATCTGTGTACCCTCAGAATGCAGCATAGTATAAGCCTACATGGTGCAGAAAAGCTTAGAGAAGAAAAAAATATACACTGCAGTTTTTGCATTGTATTTGTATGTATGAATGAGTAACAGTGTTACACAAAGAAGCCATACAAAGAAAGAGCTGAGGTAATTGTCTCATGACATTAGTAAATGATTTCAGCACATAAAGGGAACTGGATGGCAGTAATTCAAGCAGTCTGAAAGACTCTGAAAAAGGCCACAGGCACTAAAATAACCACAGATCACTAATACGTTGGAGAATTTAAATTTTCCAATCCACAAGATAAAAATTAGTGTATAGATTGATAAGCAAATTTCAAGTTGACATTTTACTACTGGAGAATGATTTATGAACCAAAGGCAAATTATTCCCTATGCCAACTATTTACCATATTTTCCAGACTATAGAATACTATAAATGAAGCCAAGATTTATGACATTTTACTCCTTAAATCCTTTTTTATCAAATGACTCCAAAATCTGCTCTGGATTTTCATGAATTCACTAGTTCCACTATGTGTTGAGTGCCTCCCAAAGTAGCATCTGGCTAGCACACTCTAGCCGGTATCCCAGGAACTAGGGTTCACGCTGGACAGCACGTGCCGAAAGTGGGTCCTGCCCAAAAGCATGCTCTGTGATAGGTGGTATATCTTCACAGGCAGAGCACAAAACTGCACAACTAAAATACTATGAAACTTGAGGTTAAGTGAGCAGCCAGAGTGGCACAGTTTTTCTACCAAGAAAAACAAGAAACCTGGACAGAAACCTGGATTTCAACTTATTTTAAAAATATTTTAAAATATTTTTTTGAACCTGATTTTTAAAAAACAGCCTGTAATCCTCAATGTCCATTCTCTTCTTCCTCAGTCTCTTGAGTGTAGGCTTGGCATTCCTCTAGACTTCAGTAAGTCAGAGGCTAACAGAGTAAATATGCATAATAAAGTTTTCCTGGATCTCTGGGTTAGGTTATTAGAGGTTCAGGGAGATAGTGGTAGAGGATTAAACTGCAAAAGAAATGGGAGACAGCCAAGTCTCTAAATGGTGGCTCTCTAAGCAATGAGAGACTGGCATCCAAATCCTAAATTGAAGACAGCAAATTCTATTCCCCTAAAATGAAAGGCACTTAAGGAATAGAAATGAAAGGTGCCTCACGACACAGTTCTTGCCACCTTCCCTCACACCAGGGCACAGTATTTGCCCTAGGCACATGGGCAGCTGTTGAACAAGGGCATCAAGATCGAGCTCCATGTGGGGACTGTGTCAGAAACCACTGTTGGACGCTCTCAATATTTCCTCATGTTGGGGGAAATGCCTCTTCTATTTGATTCTATTTGACTATAAGGACGTCCCTGGTAGCTCATCAAGGCTTCTCATATACTATTCAGAAATTCCCAAAACAGGAGAGAAATGGATAGAAACTTTTTTACTACTTTGCTAACTACAGGTAGATCTTAGAAGAAAGGGCCTTATTTTTATACTTAAGAAATTATTAAAACATGTAAGGTACTCAAGAACATTATGGAAGCATGGTGGGGTGTGAGTGAGTGAGTGTGTGTGTGTGTGTGTGTGTGTGTGTGTGTGTAGTTTAAGGTTGCAGGCAGAGTAGAACATCAGTGTTTAGAAATACAGAGGTCTGTAGTGAATTCCAAAGGACTATGGTCTCATTCAGCAATGGAACAGCCATGATTTGTTTCTAGAGTTGGTAAATTCCCCTTAGGCAGTGACGTTTCTGAAAGGGGATTTAAAAAGTTTCCATTCCTTCTAAGCATTCTCAAGATCCTTTGCTGCACTCTCACATTTAATCTGAGGCCATGAGAGCAGGCTCTATTTCTCTGAAGTTGCAATTCTTTAATACAGCTATAGACAGGATTGTTTCTAAGAACTCCGAGTCACACAGCTCCCTACCCTTTGCCATTTACTACAATTGAACTCTCAGCCATGCTGCAAGCAGCAGAATCTGCCAACAAGGACTAGCTAACAAACTGAGAACCCCCTTTGTCCAGAAGGGCCCAACCAGTGCTATACTAATGCAAAATGGAAGTCATCCAAGATTTTGAATGAGTGGGCCTGAAGTATGCACCACCACAGACACAGAATGTCTTATTGTGATGGTCTGCTCGAGGTATCCTGTGTTACGATTTAAGAAACACTTGAAGCCACAGAACTATTTCTCTTTCAAACATATTGACACCACACATATAAAGGAAAAAAGCACACACAGTTAATGAGCTCACAGCACACCCAAATGCTCTGAGAAGTTAGCCAAAACCTAGGAGAAAACTATTAATATGAACCTAGACTGGGAACAGGATGAGTGTGAATAGCTCAACTTGACGATGTCAGTCGAAGTTAATCACAATAATGTAATCTTCCTAGGAATCTCCCCCGAAAGACACAGTAAGACCTTAAAAGTATATTTTTTAGGGGCTCCCCTGGTGGCGCAGTGGTTGAGCGCTGGGCTGCGAGGCTGCCCGCGGCCTCTGCAGTGCCGGTTCATTCCCCAGGCGCTCACTCCAAAAAAAAAAAAAAAAAAAAAGCATATTTTTAAGGGTTTAAAAAACTGTGGGAGAGATTCCAAATAGATAAAGACAACTAATGTTATTTCACTGTTCCTCAAATAATGCTGTAACTCTTAGATTTACTGTCTGGGGTAAGGATTTGAAGTCTGGGGAATGAGAATGGAATAAAAGTGCTTAGTTCTCACTGATACTGTGACCCCATTAAAAAGTGGATTCGTGATATACAGTGTTGTAAACCAATTTTATCTCAATTTAAAAAAAAAGCAGATTCTTAAAAATACATAAATGTATACAAAATATATTTGCACACACACACATACAATTTCAACAAATTACAATTGGCACAACTGCTCTATCATCTTTAATGACACAAAATTTTGTCTCAGGTTCTCTTACTCCTATGACTTGCAGAGACAAAGCACCTGATTTAGGAGCATAAACCTGTTGGTGATTATATGAATTTGGGGATTCTATCAAGGAAATGCTGGAAATTCAAAAGGAAAAAATCGTAATAGTTTTACTCTTTACTGTTGTCTTTTTATGGTTTTTATGATGTGACAATCAAAACCTGCCACCTTCCATGTGTTTTACACACCTCCGATGATGAGGAGAGAATTCTGGCTACTGCAGGAAAGAAAAAGCAGAACTTATTTTTGAAGCATCAAAGTAGGAACAGTCAGAGAGAACAGGTTCTGATAAACCCACCGGGCGGCGTGCAGGCATCGGCTGGAGACTGGACGAACGTGGACCGCCTTTTCGTTGGCATGGGCAAAGCCATTTTCTGCTCTTTGTGCTTTGCCAGTGCAGCCTGAACCGCTTCTGTATGGATATCTGTAGGAGTAAATATTTGCAATTATTAGCTCCTAGATCTTGTTTACTTCTGTAGCCTGAACTATGCTTCCATTGCCAAAAAAGGACTTTAGGTGATTTTCATTTATCATTTCTTTTAGATCCATTAAAAATAAAAGCCAAAAGTAGAGACACAAGGAATCCAGGATAATTTTATAAGGAAGGAAAATGAAATCCAGGATGATGACTGCTTAACACACCAGACAAGGAGTTGATGGAAGGGGTGGGAAGGGGGAGGGGGAGGAAAGAGGGAAGGGTCTAACGTGAATGCCAAGCAGGGGACCCACTACTCCCTGGAAGTGTGAGGTACAGGGACATAGAGGACACCTGCTCTTCTTCAAGAAGAGATGACTTGTTTAACTGTCTGAAAGAAGACATGGCTGAGAACCCTCAGTTCTATGCCACAGGAACAGAACGGATTCTGAACAGAAGGAATTCTGATCTAGAAAAATATAAGGACTGATGTAACTTTTTTTGCCATTTCGGTCATGAAAGATTACAGTTTTCCACTTGACTGTCTACTAGGAATCTCAAAATTAACATATCTAGACAGAACTCGTTTTTCCACCCAAAAATCCACTCTACAGTTCTACAAAATAGGATCACACAGTGCTCTGTGAGCACACTATACACTGTTTTGATTATTTTTAACTCAAAATTCTCCTGAGATAGATAATAACTGATAAGGCTTTCTAACCCACAACAGTTTCCTCCTCTTAAGGAAAGGGCCCAGGCTACACGCAAATCATCCTTAAAGTCCTGTCTGTGCTATATGACCCTATAGAAGCTGGGCCAAAAAGATTCTCAGAAATAATTTCTTTCAGTTTGTCATTTGCCTTTTGAATGGGGAAGTAATTAGAGCAAAGAGGGAAGCAAGCACAATGGACTATGGTGGTGGACTATGGGTGATTTGGAGGTGGGTGTACTACGATGGTAATAACTGAGGGGGGGTATACAAATATTATATCAATTCAAAATAATTAATTAAAAACAACAAAAAAGCACAATACCAAAAAAAAATCAGCTCTGTCTCTGGTGAATCCTCTCACCCTCCCACACATCTGGCCAGTACCCCGGTTCTTGTATGCATGAATAGATAAATCTTTAAAAAAAAAAAAAAAACCTACTATTGAAAGTAGAAAAGTTCCTAGTTATTCTAGGGAACACAAGGAGATTTCCGTAACTGCTCCTGTAGTCAGTGGCTCACCAGCCTTGACCAGCATGGGTTGAGGACTAACCTCCACTTAACCAAGAAATTCCACAGTCTGCTGAACAGTATCTGATTCACAGACTACACTTTCTGACATTTGGGATAAATTTGAAAGAACTGGCATACAAGAACAGGAGCAGGAGATTACAGCTGGGTTTTATCAGGATAAGGTCAAAGTTTTACACTACTGAATGAGCTCTTTCTGCTTGGGCAGAAGATGCAGAGAATCACCTTTTAGGTTCCTTATTAAACTTTTTAATTACATGGTATTAAACAAAGGAAAAAACAGTGAAGAGGGGAAATGAGGGTAAGAGGGCTAGAAATTAGGGCTGAAAAGACTAGAGTCCTCTGGACTGAGTCAGAATACACTGCCGCTGAACTTGGGCTCCAGTCTCAAAAGACAACTGGGGGGGGGGGCGCGTGGGAATCTGGGCTTGGGTGTGTGGTGACAAACAAGGGCTCCTGATATGCTTTTCTACACCCAGCCTTACCACCATATAATTCATTCCTCAACTAATAACTACTTTTATTCTTTCCTTTCTCCAAAATATCTATTTAGCTCTTACATACTTAAAGCTCTATGCACTGTTGCCCAGCCATGGTAGAGCACCGGTCGGCAGCTGGAGTGAACTACTAGAATAAATACAAATTTGCCTGTGCTGTTCTTTGCTGAAAATCCTTCAGGATATTGAAGATTTCTCAAATTCATTCCCTGATAATCCTCCTACACTCATCTCCCACCTTTTTCTGGGTCCTTGAATTATAAGTTCCAGTTCTAATAAACTGCTTTCACATCTACATCTAACAATATTTCCCTAGCTCGGTATGTTGGCCAAGACTGAAGTTAGGTGTCCTATTCTCTAAGAAAGCTTCCCTTGATCACTCAAGACCAGGCTAAAGACAAAGGAAAATTCTGGGGTGGCATGTAAGGTCTGTTTTTCTGATCGAATGCTTTCATTCCTTCCTTCCAATGTGTAACATGTATATCCAGCAAATTCAGCTCACAAAAGGATTGAATCTGCTCTGCAAACAGGTCCTTTTCCTCATTTTCTCTCAAGGTTTCTCAAAGGATATGATATACATCCTGTTTTTCAGTTCAAGAAAGGCTTGTGGCAACGTTGGCTAGTATAAAGGGGACAAAAACCTGAGTTTGTAAAATAACATTCTGGTTAGTCTTCCTTAATTCTGCCATTTAAACAAAAAATATGCTGCAGGGGCTGGTGAGCACAGGGGACAGTGCAGGGCTGGGAGTTCTGGCAACACCACACTCCCCCTTGCACATCCACGACTTGTTTCTCAGCTCTTCAGGCCTGGACATAGCATGGCAGGAACATGCTGCCACTGCCAACCACTGTAAGTTGCTTTTTTCCTTCCCATGAGTATTTCTGGGATCAGAAGAAATAAAGTTTAAGAGTTTACTACATGAAACTTCATTATGAACTGTTACTCCAGCTCCACCAGTTAAAGAGACTAGTTAATCAACAACTCTGGCAAAGACAACAGGACTGGTCTCTTCCAAAAGAGTCCACTGAGCTCTGCCAGTAATACCCCGCATGACCCTAACTCAGTCTTTGTGTATATTTATTTATTCACATTGTCTTTTTAACTGTCTGCTTCATCTTCTGCCCTTGAGGGCAGAGATGGTCTTATTTGCTGCTATATCTCCAGCAAATATAGAGTACCTATCCCATCTGGCACGTAACAGATACTCAATAAGTGACCGATGAATGAATTGATATGGAACTGTTGGTGCTTAAAGGAAAAAACATAACAAAATAAGCATTAGAAGCTCTCAGGATACACAGTTTAAACTAACGTCAGTGCAAACTATTCTGCTGGTAATTTTACAGTCCCTTCTCACCTGATCGATATCGTTCATCCCTGGCTCCCCCAGATCGAGTGCGGTGGTACTTAGAAGGACCAGAAGTTTGAGCTGCAGATGGAGCAGGTGTCTGGTTTCTATGTTCTTTCTGTAGTGCTGAATCAGTTTCTAAAAAAAGTAAGTTTGGAAGATGGTTATCTGATAACAATTATAGGTAACATTTTCTGGGCACTTCATAGCACTCTTATAACACTTTGAGATAAATATAAGGTTGGAGAACTTTAATACAAATACATAAAATTATGCGAAGTCATCTAGGCTAGAAAATATCTTAGCACTATAATTATCAATAGATTATAAGAGAGGGCCTCCCTGGTGGCCCAGCAGTTCAGCGCTGGGCTGCGAAGCTGCCCATAGCCTCTGCAGCACTGGTTCAATCCCTGGCCACCGGCGAGGGTCCTACATGGCGCGGCAGACCTCTCCTGCTGCACCCGCTGCTCCCCTCAGCAGTGTATTTCGTTAGTCTGCCTGTTCTGTTCCCCACTCTGGCTCTAGTGAATTCTCTCACCCTCCCGCGCTTCTGACTGTACCCAGTGCTTGTAAAAATAAATAAATAAATCTTAAAAAAAAAAAAGATTTTAAGAGAGAAACAGCATGAAGATATATGTGAAAAAAGTTGTTTGAGAGACTAAGAGTCAGTGGGGCACATAGGACCCTCTTATTCAGCATAGTGGTACAAAAAATAGCTTGGAAAGCTTTAGTTTCCCTACCATGTTACTCTAAATAAACAAATTTAAACAAAACTGTATGCTTATTATGTAAACATAGCTTCAAATCAAGTCTGCTATCCCCTCCTCCAGCAGGAGTCACCACTGAAATTGTCCCTTTCCAGTCCCCATATACTGTCTCCCAACATTTACTGTCTTATCAAGAATATAGGGGATACCGGTGGCGCAGTGGTTGAGTGCTGGGTTGCGAAGCTGCCCGCAGCCTCTGCAGCGCCGGTTTGATCCCCGGCTGCTCCCCGGCCACCGGAGGAGGGTCCCGCATGGGGCGCAGACCTCTCCTGCCGCCCGCTGCTCCCCTCAGCAGTGTCCTTCGGTCCTTCTGCCTGCTCTGCTCCCCGCTCTGGCTCTGGTGAATTCTCTCACCCTCCCGCCCTCCCGCGCTTCTGACTGTACCCAGTGCATGTATAAATAATAAATAAATAAATCTTTAAAAAAAAAAAGAATATAGGGGATAGGGAAATAAGCAGGTAAAATAAGCAGAAGAAAAACACTTAAGTTCTGATATTTCACTACCTTTATTTTCAAATGGTGTTAGCTCCTAAATATTTTTTAATTGTAACAGAAACATTAAACATGAGATATACCCTTTTATAAAATTTTAAGAATGTGACAGTATAAACTATAGGTATGATGCTGGACTCTCTAGAGCTTTTATTCATCTTGCATAACTGAAACTTTTTATTCATTGAAGAGAAACTCCTCATTTCCCCTCCCCCCAGACCTTGGTGACCATCATTCTACTCTCTGCTTTTGAGTTGGACTATTTTCTATTCCTCATGTAAACGGAACCACACATACATAGTATTTGTTCTTCTGTAACTGGCTTCTTTCACTCAACTTCATCTATGTTTTCACAAATGCTCTACAGTAAAGTGCTTTTATAGATCTAGAAATATATATTTTTGATGGTCCAGATAGGTGAGATTTTTATTATACAATATGTTAACTCAACAGAACGTGTTTCAATGCCGAGATTTTGAAATTTAATATCTTGGGTTGTAAATTCAAGTTATTTGTATACTGTTACTAATGTACCATTAATTTACACCCTGGCTATTGTCTGGACAGCACAGAGTTTCCCCTCTCACTGCAGCCCTTCCACCACCCAAGCACCCACAGTCCTTTACCACAGTCCACTGTGCTGTCCACCCCCATGCCATTGTTTCCCCCTCTCCTCTTCCCTTCCCCCCCGAAAGGCTAAGATCAATAGTCAATTTTCAAGGATTGATTTATTTTGTAAACTTTTATTTTCTTACATCATTGTTTACTTTTGTACAATACTTGATTTCTCCCCTCAGGTGTAGTTCCCATAATTCTCCCACTACCACAGCACCTGTGAGCCACAGTCCTTTGATTTGACCACTCTCCCTCCCTCTTCCCTGCTACATGTCAAGGGTTGGTTTTAAATTTTGTCTTTGTCTGACTCTATGTTTGTTAGTTTTTATATTCCACAGTAAGTGACACCTAGTATTTATCTTTCTCCTTCTGGCTTATTTCACTTCTAGCTCCAACGGTGGCACTGTAAATGGCATACATTTTTCTTTTTTGGTTGCCAAGTAGTACTCCACTAATAATATAAAGCCACATCTTCATCTTCTTGATCCACTCATCTGTTCTGGGGCATTTAGGTCATTTCCAACTCTTGGTTATTGAAAATAATGCTGCTATAAACATGGGGGTGCAGGTGTCCTTTTGAATTAGTGTTCTTGTATTTTATGGACAGCTATCTAGGAGTGGGATTGCTGGGTCATATGCCAGACCCATTTTCAGTGTTTTGAGAACCCTCCATACTGCTTTCCAAAGGGGCTGGGCCAGCCCGCATTTCTCCACACCCTCACCTGCATTTGTTTCTGTTCTGGCCATTTTCACTGGTGTGAGGTGGTATCTCATTGTGGTTTTGATTTTCATTTTCCTCATGATTAAGTAATGAACATTTTTCACGTGCCTATTGGTCATCCTTATGTCTTCTTTGGAGAAGTGCCTGTTTAGTTCCTCTGCCCATTTATTGTTTGGGTTGTTTTCTTTTTGTTGAGTTGTATGAGTTGTTTACAGATCTTTGATGTCAGTCTTGTCAGATGCATGGTGTGTGAATATTTTCTTCCATTCAATAGGGAATCTCCTCATTTTAGTTATAGTCTCTTTTGCTATGCAAAAGCTTTTTAGTTTGATGTAGTCCCAAATGTTTATATTCCCTTTTGTTTTCTTTGCTGCAGGGGATGAATCTGTAAAGGTATTTCTGAGGCTTATGCTGTGGAGTGTTTTGCCTGTGTTTTCTTCTACGTGTTTTATGGTTTCAGGTTTTACATCCGAGTCTTTTGTCCATTTTGAGTTGATGTTTGTGTATGGTGTGATGGAGTGGTCTAGTTTCATTCTTTTACAGGTATCACTGCAATAATTCCAGCACCATTTATCGCAGTCTTTCCCTTCTCCAGTGTATATTCTTCTCTCCTTTGTCATAGTTTGGCTCTCTATAAATGTATGGGTTTATTTCTGGGTTCTCATTTCTATTCCACTTGTCTTTGTATCTGCTCTGTTTTCATTATTATGGCTTCATACTTTAAAGCCTGGAAGTGTAATACTCCTATTTTCCCTCTCTTTTTTCAGGATAGCGTTGGCTATCTGGGGTCTTTTGTGATTGCCTATGAATTTTTTTTAAAGATTTATTTATACATATAAGAACTGGGGTGCAGGCCAGAGGCTCAGGGGAAGTGAGAGGATTCACCAGAGACAGAGTGGGGAGCAGAATTGAAATACACTGCTGAGTGGAGCAGAGGTGAGACAGGAGAGGTCTGCTGCACCATGTGGGTAAGCTCCCTGGCTAGCCTGGGATCACAGCAGTGGTTGGCAATAGCATGATAGCACTGTCTTTAACCCCTGCACCACCGGGGAGGCCCCTATGAATTTCAGTAAAGTTTTTCCATAAATTGAAGTTTTTAATCAACTTAAATTCTCTTGATATCTACTACATAGGAGAGCTTTATTGAATTTATATTTCCATACCTTGTTCATTTGTTAGCTTTATTACTCTAGAACAGGGATCAACACATTACGGCCCATTTCTGTTTTGAAAAATAGTTTTATCTAAACACAGAGACCCTCACCTGTTACATATTGCCTATGAATGCTTTCACACTGTAAAAGCAGAATTAACTTGTGACAGAGATGGTGGGGTGCTCCAAGTCTAGATATTTACTATCTACACACACACACACACACACACATACACACACACACACACATTATCTCTGGTCTATAATCATAAAAGCAACGTTTAAGTACTTGCTTTGTGCCAGGCATTGTGAATTATAGTTTTCACCTTTATTCTTATCTATTCCTCACACAATCCCACAAAGTCAGCATTATCACTACCGTCTTTTTATAGAGAGGACAAAGAAATGGATGAAGCTATCCAAAGTCAGAGTCAAGGAATAGCAGATTCAGGATTCAAACCCAGATTATCTAATGCCACCAATTTTCAACCAGAAGAAATGATTTCATTTAGGACTGTCTAACTATTTCAGGATTTACAGTCAGTAGCTAGAAACAATTTTTAAAAAGTCCCCTGCTATCATGTGAGAGGTTCTATTTAAAAAGATCCTCCAGATAAAGTTTTTAGTCATTCGCTACAGTAATTATTTAAAACATTTTCTAATTAACTTAAAATAAAGAACAAAAAAATAAAGGGGCAATTTTTATTTTAAAGTCAGATGACATAAGAAAATCAGATTAGCCCACATGAGCTACTTTGCTTATAAACATGCAAATAATTTGCAAATAAGTCAAAATAGTTTGACTTACAGCAACAAGTTTATTTTTTTACAGCAACAAGTTTAAAGCATAAGCTTTGCGTTTTTGGGGGGGGTGTCATAGTGAATTTGTAACTAATTACCAACTGATTTTTTAATTAAATGATTCAGGACAGATCGATTACCCTGCTAAGAAACGTGGTGCTTCCAAACTTAATAGCTAATAATCCAGAGGGTAAAAAGAATGACTAGATTCTCACTTCACAAATGATGGACAGAAAATGTTCATGCATTTTTTTTTTTACCATTCTTCTCAAACCCCATACTTTCACTTTGTATTTTTCAATGTAATTAATTAGGAGAAAGAAGACAATGTAGGCTAAACAGTACAAATTGTTACAAAGAAATGAGAAGTAAGGATGTGGAAGTTGTCACATTTGTTTGAGGAAGAATTAGATTAAAATTTCCCTTTGGGATTATCTAGAGGTTATCATAGCTCAAACCATAAGGAAATGTAACACAAATGCAGACATCTGATGAGAAGTGAGAGTAGATGACACTTAGCCAAGAGGAGTACTAAACTGGTACAAAAATGAATAACAAAACACAAAAAGCCTCACGACATGCTATTCAC